CTGACCAGTACACCAATGAGAAAGGAGCAAACAGACACGTAGAATCAAACAAACTCCTGATTCCAAGACTATCAGGTACATTATGCTACTTCATCCCAATATAGCAGGTAAATATTTAACATAAATGCTTCTTGTGATCTGGCATACATATGTAACCTGATGACATGTCTGGATTCCTGCTATTAATTTCAATAAAACTTGATGAATATAGCCTACAGAGTACAACCTACAGTATAAAACTTAACATCACCACTCACCAGTATTACCTAGACAGTTATCTACAATAGTTAAGTAAAGCTGAGTACGGCTCTTTTCAATATTCAACAATATCATGGAGACACTAGAACGGTCTTCCATATTGTTCTCCTTTAGGGAATCAGAACTGGCGATGTGTGAATGAATACTTCAGCTACTTGGGTATAACCCTCTGCCCTTCTACAGCACTGAAGAAGTATTATTGACTTTCCATGTACCACCCTACTGTATCATTTTTATCATTATACACCAAATACAAATGTCTGGTATTTTCTAGACTGACAAGAAAAGCCACAGATGTACTGAGCCAACTTGATACATATATATATTCTTATTTTATTTTAAACTAATGCACAAAAATGAATGCAAAATGTACCTACAGCCATATAAAACATTAAATCAATTATCATATATATGTATATTCTTATATTGAGCTAATGACCAAATTATTTTAGATGAATCTCCAGTAAATGTCTGTATAAATTTCAGAAGACACCTGACTGAAAGGATTTTCAAAATGGCCACAGTAGCAGCCATTTTGAAAACATTGTTATAATAGATAAAGCTACTTTTTGTTATTGAAACCTGGTGGGTTCAAAACGATTTTTTATTTAGCTCCGCTGTCATGGCAACTCAAGATAACAATACGTCAACAGAATTCAATCTGAACTCCGTCACCTATTTGCATAATGTGACTTATGTAACCACAAACATTTTCTTAGACAAAACCATATCTATTCACACAGTACAAAAAGCATTAGAAAGTTTATTACACATGACAATCATCACTCAATGCATATACAATCAATCAATAATGCACCATTTAATGATATATCCTGTTTAACAACACCTACAACAAATATTTATTAGATTCAATTCATTTAGAAAAAAGTCTTCCTCTTCAATATTTCTTGCTAAATTATACAAATGTATATACAGGCAATGCATAACAGTTGCTATATTACATATGACATAGTCTTGGATAAAGAAATACTGAAAGTCATTCTGACAAGGCTTGGTACTTTCAAGCAAATAGAAACAGTTGTACAACAGTAGTATTTAGGATCTTGTAATGTATTATAGGGGGCTCTGGGTTGGTTGAATTGGACTTGAGTGTACCAATGTTATTGAATCCCCATCTGTTTCTCTGTCACTTATCCTGACATCCCACCACCACTGGACCCCCCAAAGCACCCCATCCACCTATAATAAATAAACAGTCCCTTCCTAAAGTGTGTCTGTACCCGGTCACAAGTGAGATATTCAAAGTAACAAAATTATGAAAATGTATTGTACACAATCAAAAACTAAGCATGGACCATTAAAATTTAAGATTGATACTAATACCTGCCTTTCAGAACGAGTTTACAAATACCTTTAATAAACATGGACTGACTGAATGAACATAACACCTATATCATTATTTAGATAAAATGTCAACATGCTTTGTCCATTTCATTAACAGTTTGTCATCAAAACAAGATTTCAACATTTTATCCAAACATAGATCTGAAATATCATTCAAGACAGTGAAAAATAAAACAATCTAAAAATTAAACAAACAAACGTTGAATACACCTGCATATGTTTAACTATGAAAACCCACAAATAAAACAGCAATGAAGCATCTCAGTCATATGAAGCCAAATCGCATCACATTATACACTATATAAAAGATGGGCATACAAAGTGTATTTTCCATTTCTAAAGGCAACAAAAAGGCACTTGTTTGACATAAACCTAACACAGTAGTCTGACTAAGTTAGAAAACTGGCTTTTCCAAATTATAGCTATACTCTGTATAGGCCTAAAAGAACTCTTACCCTGCCTACACGAACAAATCATTATAGAAAATCACATACAGAATCATAGTGGTTAAACACCGTATTAAACATGTCACATTTGAACATACAAGGGTAATGCATAAATACATACTACTGAAAAACAAGTTAAAACCCATTCAATTATTCCATATTACTTCAGTAAATCTGTTATGACAGATTCCAAAATTTCTTTCATGTTATGCCATAAAAGATTACCTATAGTAACATGAAAGAATATGGATGTGTTTAACATTTTTTTGAGTAATATGTCAAACAGGCCAAACAAACTGAAAACATGACCGATTCATTTATATGTACTGTTTTTATTAAAACAATACTTTCATCAACTTCACATCTACACACAATGTTATAAAGTTATCAAATCACCATATTCTTCTGAAATATTAAAGACTGACTTCATGTGGAAGTGAACTATCAAACAACCCACATCTGCATAAGTATTTCTTTATAGCCATCTTGCTACACAAACTCAGTATGAGACGGTTGATGAAACACGTACTCCTCCAAAGAGTGCCTTGGATAAAGTAGCACATTCAAAATGTCAATACAGTTTTTTTATGACAGCTCTTCCTATTGTAGTCCAGTAAAGTTCAGTAAACAGGCCATAATCATATTCAGTATGAAAAGTGGGATTCAAACCCACAGTAAGCAGCTCCTGGCACAAGTTAGGGACATAATCCTGCATAGCAAATTGTGGTTACAAGGTCACCTGTGACCCAACCTTATTAAAAACGATCACAAAGGAAAATATTACTTGTGTCTTGAATGAGCAAGCAACAGAATATTTGTATCAATTATTTCATGAAAATATTACATCTTAAATGCATGTAACTGCCATAAGTGGCTAATCAGAGTAACATCATGAAACACTTGAACTCAGGAGCATTTGTTATCTTATGTTACTCAAAACAAGTACAGAAGCACCTGATTCATTCACATTACTTTAGACAGTAAGGTGCCTTGACAGATCAATCAAATGACAAATTACCTATACTAATATGAAAGAATCGAATCTCCCTAACCTTTTTTGAGAAGTATAAATCCAAGCCTAAGCAGGTGTGGTTTCCTTATTGTTGTTCTAAACATAGCCGAACGGAGGTAGTGAAAATACCTGATAAATGCTGGAACAAGTTCTGCCACCAAATGTCAGTTTATTGTTGTTATGTCTCACGACGTGACAGACGTAGCATGCAACATGGCCACCATCTCATATGCAGTTTCTAGTTTTGTTATGAATAAAGAGAATATCTCTGTTAATTTCATACCCTGATGCTAAAAATGTACACAAACAAAGAGTTACACTGACTAAAATTTGTTAATAGTTGGTCAGAAACAAAATGTATCTAAAGAGATGAAAGTGTGTTGAATGACAGGGACTCCATCTTATTCAGAAAGGTAGAATTCAGTTTGGACGTCCAGATAACAGTGTCTAGAATAACAGGATTTCACTGTATAGAGTAAGTAGTACTTGGCTCCTGACACACAGTTCACACTCTAAATTCAAGACTACAAACACAATCTTAACAACCAGGATTTCCAATGCAAACTAATGCATAATGATAATTTCATGATATCAGCATCTGAGCAGAATTAAAAACAAAAGTCCAAAACTAAAACTAAACTTGTCATGCTTGTATTCTGACAACTAAAACTTATAAAAATAGTGAGCTTCAAACTTTGGAATGTTACAAAAGGCCATTACTTGTGACTCTAAAATGTAGAAACTAAAACCAGCATGAAGAAAGCAACATAACATAACAGAGTGTTAGAAATAATGGACATGAATGATAGGTTAGTCACCTTAAAATCTCCCCACTTCTATACAGACCTGGAGTTATTGGGTACTGAACAAGGCTTGAGAACAAAACCAACAAAAATCAAACTAAAACATTTTGTATTGTGTGGTTTCACTTCCAGGTTTTCATTTCCTACGAACAAGTAGCATATGATATGATTTTACTGTAGGGTGATCAACACTGTTTGTATCTAGGTAACCTCCCTATTCTATACACACTCTCCCAATTTAGTTTCTAACTTAAGCAACAATGGAGCCTTACAGATGGCCAGGGCTAGTATCATTGGTATATGCAGGCTAGTATGTATACTGATGGAGCTTCACAGATGGCTCAGGGATAGTAGAATAGGTATGTGCAGGGATGTATACTGATGGAGCCTCACAGAAGGCTCAGGGCTAGTAGAACAGTGCATGATGCAGAAGGCTCAGGGCTAGTAGAACAGGTATATGCAGGCTAGTATGTGTACTGATGGAGCCTCACAGAAGGCTCAGGGCTAGTAGAACAGGTATATGCAGGCTAGTATGTGTACTGATGGAGCCTCACAGAAGGCTCAGGGCTAGTAGAACAGGTATGTGCAGGCTAGTATGTGTACTGATGGAGCCTCACAGAAGGCTCAGGGCTAGTAGAACAGGTATATGCAGGCTCAGGGCTAGTAGAACAGGTATGTGTACTGATGGAGCCTCACAGAAGGCTCAGGGCTAGTAGAACAGGTATGTGCAGGCTAGTATGTGTACTGATGGAGAGCCCCTCACAGAAGGCAGGTATGTGGGCTAGTAGAACAGGTATGTGCTCAGGCTAGTATGTAGTATGTACTGATGGAGCCTCACAGAAGGCTCAGGGCTAGTAGAACAGAACAGGTATGTATACTGATGCCTCACAGAAGGCTCAGGGCTAGTAGAACAGTATGTGTACTGATGGAGCCTCACAGAAGGCTCAGGGCTAGTAGAACAGGTAGAACAGGTATCAGTGCTGGCTGGTATGTGTACTGATGGAGCCTCACAGAAGGCTCAGGGCTAGTAGAACAGGTATGTGCAGGCTAGTATGTGTACTGATGGAGCCTCACAGAAGGCTCAGGGCTAGTAGAACAGGTATGTGCAGGCTAGTATGTGCAGGCTAGTATGTGTACTGATGGAGCCTCACAGAAGGCTCAGGGCTAGTAGAACAGGTATGTGCAGGCTAGTATGTGTACTGATGGAGCCTCACAGAAGGCTCAGGGCTAGTAGAACAGGTATGTGCAGGCTAGTATGTGTACTGATGGAGCCTCACAGAAGGCTCAGGGCTAGTAGAACATGTATGTGCAGGCTAGTATGTGTACTGATGGAGCCTCACAGAAGGCTCAGGGCTAGTAGAACAGGTATATGCAGGCTAGTATGTGTACTGATGGAGCATCACAGATGAACCAGAACTAGAAGATATGGTCTGGACTAGTATACAAACTAATGGCAGTTGATGGCCCAGACTAGTAGCACTGTGATGGCTGGGCTAGTTTGCATTGATGGTCCCCAAACCAGACCCAGGGCAGTAACATGTCCAGATTACTAACCAACAATGTGTGCACAAAATCAATATACCATGAGCCCTTTTAATGTGTACAGTCCTAGTCAGCAAAATTGTTAGGTGCCACAAATGTCCAGCTTATAAAAATCATAGGTACAAACATTTTGACTTTTTATGAAGACGTTTCAAAACAAGTCAGTTGAAAGACTTGTTTCCAGATTTAACATGACTCCAGACCAACAGGGTTTCACTGTAGCCAGGTTTTCCAGGCTTCATGTTGTAACTGCATAAAGCATTAGTAGATGACCACCTATTAGAGTCCATCACTGCTTGTTAGATTATTGTGTCCTACAACTTCAGAGTGCCACTCAATCACTCTCATCCTGACAAACTAAAATAGATGTAACAAGTGTATAAAACACCACACTGAGCACTGGCAAACCTCCACTCTACCAACTGTGGCATCCAATATAAAATGACATCAGAACAGAACTTGATAAAATGTTCAAAACAACTGCTGCGTTTAGCTGTTATAAATCCTGTAAACAGTGTTGAATGGTGCTTGTGGGTGTGGTCATTCAACTATGAATTCCACATAGTTCTCAGGGAGGAGTCCGCTCCGGCCGTCTAATGTCCCCTCCAGCCAATGTGGCTCCTTGGAAGGGCGCACTGAAACATTGAGAGAGTGTGCGAGTTTAGGGGTGCACGGAAATGCAGGCAGAGAGTTGGGGGTGCACTGAAACATAGGGAGAGAGTTGGGATGCACTGAAACATAGGGAGAGAGTTGGGATGCACTGAAACATAGGGAGAGACTTGGGATGCACTGAAACATAGGGAGAGACTTGGGATGCACTGAAACATAGGGAGAGACTTGGGATGCACTGAAACATAGGGAGAGACTTGGGATGCACTGAAACATAGGGAGAGACTTGGGATGCACTGAAACATAGACAGAGAGTCTGAGATGAGGGCCACACTGAAACATAGGCAAATACTGAGATGAGGGGCACACTGAAAGATAATCACAGAGGGGTGAACAGCAACAGTCATCTGTCATGCCCAGTGTCAATAAACAGAGAGTGAGTGAGTTGGGTTTTACACCGCTTTTAGCAATATACCAAGGCGGTCAATAAACAGAGCAACAGTCAACAGACCTGAAGGCAAATAGTAAAAGGAAAGACACAAAATGTCATCTTAGGGGTAATATTTCAAGCGACTGTCACCTGACAATTCATGGTCAATTATGTCACACAAAGCAGGGTTTAACAGTGCGAACTGAGGCCCATTAAGGCCAAGAATGCATGAGAGACTGTTGAAAGGGAGGCTTGGTTGGTTGGTTGTTGAACGCCGCACCCAGCAATTTCCCAGCTATACGGTGCAGTCTGTAAATAATCGAATCTGGACCAAACAATCCAGTGATCAACAGCATGAACATTGATCTACGCAATTTGGACACGATGACAGAAAGGGATGCAGTGTTTTAATAATGTAGTTCTCACCATTGTAGATTAGGGTATTAGCACTGAAGGACAGCTCTGAATCGTTCTCTGCCTGGCACTCATACAGGGTCCTCACAGTCCTGGAAATAAGACATCAGCATTTAATACTCATCCATAACCTCTAGTGACATCATGGCTTCTGGCTTTTCTGCAGTATTACCAACTTCCTGGTCCTCATGGAGAGCTGCTGGAGTTACCAATCAGTCAGTCACCTACCTTCCTGGGGCACAGGGCAAGCGACTAGAGTTTTCTACTCAGTCAGACATGTCACCTACCTTCAGAGACAAGGAATGAACAAATAGATGTCACCTAAGGAATGATGACAACTATCAGATGTCACCTACCTTCCAGGGGCACGCGTGATGAGCTACTAGGAGTTACTACTTGGTCAGTCATATCACCTACCTTCCAGGGTTTGGATGAGCTACTAGAGTTACTACTTGGTCAGTCATATCACCTACCTTCCGGGGGCACGTGATGAGCTACTAGAGTTACTACTTGGTCAGTCATATCACCTACCTTCCAGGGGCACGTGATGAGCTACTAGAGTTACTACTTGGTCAGTCATATCACCTACCTTCCAGGGGGCACATGATGAGCTACTAGAGTTACTACTTGGTCAGTCATATCACCTACCTTCCAGGGCGGCGTGATGAGCTACTAGAGTTACTACTTGGTCAGTCATATCACCTACCTTCCAGGGGCACGTGATGAGCTACTAGAGTTACTACTTGGTCAGTCATATCACCTACCTTCCAGGGGCACGTGATGAGCTACTAGAGTTACTACTTGGTCAGTCATATCACCTACCTTCCAGGGCACATGATGAGCTACTAAAGTTACTACTGGTATCATCATAGTCATATCACCTACCCTTCCAGGGCACGGATTAGCTACTAGAGTTACTACTTGGTCAGTCATATCACCTACCTTCCAGGGGCACGGATGAGCCCTAGAGTTACTACATTTTGGTCAGTCATATCACCTACCTTCCAGGGGCGCGGATGAGCTACTAGAGTTACTACTTGGTCAGTCATATCACCTACCTTCCAGGGCACGGATGAGCTACTAGAGTTACTACTTGGGTTACTACTTCGTCAGTCATATCACCTTCCAGGGCACGGATGAGCTACTAGAGTTACTACTTGGTCATCAGTCATATCACCACCTTTCCAGGGGCGTGATGAGTCCCAGAGTTACTACTGGGTCAGTCATATCACCTACCTTCCAGGGCACGGATGAGCTACTAGAGTTACTACTTGGTCAGTCATATCACCTACCTTCCAGGGGCACTTGATGAGCTACTAGAGTTACTACTGGTCAGTCATATCACCTACCTTCCAGGGCACGGATGAGCTACTAGAGTTACTACTTGGTCAGTCATATCACCTACCTTCCAGGGCACGCGTGATGAGCTACTAGAGTTACTACTTGGTCAGTCATATCACCTACCTTCCAGGGGCACGTGATGAGCTACTAGAGTTACTACTTGGTCAGTCATATCACCTACCTTCCAGGGGCACGTGATGAGCTACTAGAGTTACTACTTGGTCAGTCATATCACCTACCTTCCAGGGGCACGTGATGACCTACTAGAGTTACTACTTGGTCAGTCATATCACCTACCTTCCAGGGGCACGTGATGAGCTACTAGAGTTACTACTCAGACTGCCAGTCATGCTTGCGGGCATAGAAGAGTTCCTGAAAAATATGAGCTTTAACATAACAAAAAGTCTTCACTACAAAATAAAGCCTCATGCAGGGTCTAAAATCTAAATAAATGTTAAAATTTAATATGCTCTTACTGTGATAGAGTGTGTTTGACTCAGTTCTGCTTTTACCAGCAATTAAGCCATATCATAAACAGGAACACCAAAACTGGCTTCAAACACTGGGAATAGAACCCCTGTCCTCAGTGTGACAAGGCAAAGCACTAACTACTACACTACCAAACAACAAGCTAGTTGAAAGCAGCTTCTAACATTTACCATACTTCTAACATTCCAACCAATTAACAATCAGTTTTAGGGACAAAGGTAACTTACATTGACGTGCTGAAGTCATTAGAACGTCTCTTCTTGACACTTCCACTGAAAAAGAATACATATTAATGATTTATTAACTTGATCGAGGTAATCTTGTGATCTTAATGTAACAGCCTACCATCATCTAACAGACAAAAGATGATGACCTGACATTAAACTTCTTAAACATGCAACATCAAGAACTGAGATCAAATTGCAAGATTATTTCTTCATGGCTGTCATGAGGTTTTTATACAATATAAACAGGGGTGGAAATAACTTTAAAATTAATAGTGTACTCCGGTACAGTGGCACATGTAAAATCACTTGCCCTGATCAATTTTTCCACTATACCGGCCATTTTCTTGTTGATTTTCTTAAATAAACAACATCATTAACATTGGAAAGTCAACTGGACACCGGTACAGTGTCATATACAAATTTGCTTGCCCGACAGAAAAAAACACTGGACTCGGACACCGGCAACGGGTTATTTCCACCCCTGATAAAACATTAGGGAGCCAGACCACATTATAGGTATTCTCATGAAAGTCATGTGTTTATGTAACATATAACAGACAACATAAGGTAGCAAGGTCACTCGGTACATTGCTTGTTCACAGAGGAAATTAAATAGATCCAAGCTCCTGGACAAATAGAAGTCTTCCATTTATCTTCAAGGTAATATGTACAAATGCAAATGTAGCATTAAAAGTTTTAAAAGCCTAAATTTTCCAAATGACACTGTTTAACTGCCACAGCTGATGGAACAGCCTTAAAGTTGTACCTACAACTTAAGGCTATCCCATCAGCTGTGGCAGTTAAACTGTTTTTCAACATGTTTTGAGTAGTATATGTTTAAATAGTGAGGTGAGGTGATACAGGATTTAACATCCCATTCAAGATTACTGCCTGTATATAAACATGTATTCTGAGCTGGCCGATCCTTGTTTAATCCCCCGCAATGTTAAATGTCAGGCAGGGTATAACCAATGACTATCTTTTAATCTTGTTGGTAGGATAAAACCAAGGTTCAACCCACTGACCGTCCACACTCCAGGCTGGCACTATAACCACTACACCATGGACAAGGGTTCCGCATTGTGAAGGAGCAGCTGTGAAAAATATTATTTCTTCTCACAGGCGACCTATCTGTATATATCCTGGTAACCAACTGTCACGAGTGTAACCTTCACCATAAGGCATTCAGCCCACCCTGAAGCACGACCTGCTCAGGTCTTAATACAACATATCACAAGCATCATTAGTGGACTTACAATGTTGGAATGTCTGATCCTGCGATGCTGAATCTGTTGGCTGCAAAAAAATAAAAAATTCAAATATTATCACAACTAAGTTGAGATGAGATGTGACTTTCAGGAACAGTCTTATATGTTGAAAATACTGTAGACATGATAAAGCTTTGTGTATATTCCTATGGTTACATCTAGACTATGAGTGAGTGAGTTTGGCTTTATGCCACTTTTAGCAATATTCCAGCAATATCACGGCGGGCACACCAGAAATGGGCTTCACGCATTGTACCCATGTGGGGAATCGAACCCGGGTCTTCAGCGTTACGAGCGAACGCTTTAACCACAAGGCTACCCCACCGCCCTCTAGACTATGAAAAGTGGGAGTTATCATGACTATATGTCATAACAACTATTAAAGTCATTCATGAGTTTACTTTAACTTCACAAGATACTGACAACAAAACACAATATCAGCAATAATTTGTTGATCAAAACATGTTATAATAAAGACTGTTGAAGTCCCCCTGGAGTCTCAGGTATGAAATACATCTAACTGAAAATGTGTATTCCAGAAAATATGGCTCAATCAAATGATAATCTTGGTTGAAAATTGGGTCAAATAGATAGTGTTAGGATTTAGGCTGTATTGAAGGATTGTTCATGGTGCTGCTGTACAAAGTGATCGAAATGCTAAGATGATCGTAACTCTCATACCTTAACACAGACTTACAACAGTCTTAGCACAAAGTGAGTGAGTTTGGTTTTACGCTGTTTTTGGCAATATTTCAGCAATATCACAGTAGGGGACACCAGAAATGGGATTCCCACATTGTACCCATGTGGGGAATCGAATTCTGGTCTTCTGCGTGACGTGCGAATGCTTTAACAACTAGGCTACCCCATCGCCCCTCATAGCACAAAGGATGCTTTGTACAACACCACTGTTATTAGGTTCTGTGGGACCACAATATCATACATATCCCAATACTACCGATGCTCCATGATTCACAGGGCTTCACAGTCCGGAATCATTTACTTTAATTTCAATCTTGAAGATGGGGAATTTTTGGGTAGAAACACATATATACAACCGACAAACAAATCTGAAAAATTGATGACAAGATGCATTTTCCCTCAACATATTGATGACCTCTCACCATGTGCGGTTCATGCTTGAGTTTCATGGTGACTCGATGTTGTGTTCAGATTTTGTGAATATATACCTCAACCGGAGCCGAATTTAAATCATCAGTTCCCCTGGGTTTTTAGTCAGTACATGCCAGAAGGCACAGTGAGTGCATTACTAGACAATCTGCTGAAGCTGGATCTAGAACAGTTTTTGGTTTTATTTACTGTTTTAAACCAGGGATGGGAACAGGAATATCTATTTTCAGCTGAAAACTTAATATTGTGTCATCAAATCGGGGGTTTAGGTGGGGTGGGGGAAAAGGAATTGACAATTTGAAATGAAATCTGCACATCAGCAGAAAATTACACCCTGCTAATTCCAAATAACTGTTAACTCTTCATGTGTATGGTGATACAGGGGTTCCAGATCCAGTTATTGTATCATTTTGGCCTCGTATTGCTGTACTGTTAGACTAGTGGCACTAACAGTTGTGAGACTATGGGCCTCGTATAGCTCATCGTACTGCTGTACTGTTAAACTAGTGGCACTAACAGTTGTGAGACTATGGGCCTCGTATAGCTCATCGCATTGCTGTACTGTTAGACTAGTGGCACTAACAGTTATGTGTCTACGTGTCAGCAGTGCAAAGAAAGTTATGCAGGTCGAAGAAATCTACCACTTTGGTGAAACCCACGACAAACCAAGATTAATAACATGGATAAGCCTGTGATTCAACCCATAATCATCAGATTCTGAGTGATTTATGTGAGTGAGTATGGTTTTACGCCACTTTTAGCAATATTCTAGCAATATCAAGGCAGGAGAAACCAGGAAAGGTGACTGATTATGAGAGATGTAGAGGCTGTCATGAAGTACACCCAAAGAATGATCTGTCATAACTCATATGCGTAAGAGCTGGCTGACCAAATTAATAAGTGAATTTTGTTTGCACTTCAGTGACAGATATTTATAATATAGCATTGTGATTATGGACAGTGGAATCTTGGTAAGTTGAAATAACGGGATGGTGAGGATGTATTCCTACTATAAATCTCCATGTTCAAAGTGCTGACAAAGCACGAGTAGGTGGTTATAATGTGTCAAATGCTTCAATGTTAGTTGGTGCTCCTGCCATCAAACATTGGTTTGTCAGGGAAAGATTATAAATGTTATAGCAGTAAATCGCTGACTGTGGCAAACATCAAATCACTCAGCTTAACATTGATTCATAGAGAATTTGGGGCAATGGCTGTTGATCCACATCTATACTTCTCAAAAGAGTGAGTTTTGTTTTACGCCGCTTATAGCAATATTCCGGCAATATCACGGCAGGGGACACCAGAAATGGGCTTCACGCATTGTGCCCATGTCGGGAATCCGAATGTCAGCGTGACGAGCGAACGCTTTAACCACTTTTGAATAATCAACATTTATCTGTCATGTCAGGAAATGAGTCAAATGAGAGAATCAAATGTTTCCTCATAATCACTTCTAACCAAGCCTATCATAAGAATTAGATATATGGGATCTGTTGGAACATATTCTCTTACAGAATCACAGTGGTGGATCAGGGAGTAAGATTCTGAACTCCTTCTCTCCACGTCTAACGCACCATCACAGAACCATCACAAGCACATATATATGGGGAGGGAGGATTTGTTTGAGAAATAACACCACCATGGATGCTTCATGCAAGATCAAATGGATAAAGACATTTTCAACAGCCCGATTAAACTGGGTTAAGACCCATTCACCCAATGCCAAAAGTTCAACAAATTTCAGCAAGAAACAGGCAGACAAAAGGACCATGGTATTGAGAATCTCCAGAGAAGAGGAGTATGGATTAGTGTGGCTATAATGAGGTGCCCTGCTTCAAGCATGGTCAAGACTGGTCACTGGCAGGTTGGTTTAAAGTGTCTCACCTCGTGAAGAGTTAGAGCAACTTTGCAGTTCTAGTATGTCTGGTTCCTCAAGGGTATCTAACATCAAAGTACATAATTTACAGAGTGCACAATGAATTCTAATACTCCAAGACTGTTTCAAGGGGAAAATGGCCTCAAGCCCAAACTTATGTTGTAATGTCATAAGCATGAGGATTCTATTTACTTCACTATCGTCACAGTTTCTTGACAAAATGATAAAACTTGTTTCTGAATACAAAACAAATAAACCGTGGAGATCTGGGTTAGAATTAGCCTTCAGAAACCCATGCTTGTCATAAGAGGCGACTGATGGGATCGGGTGGTCAGGCTTGCTGACATTGTTGACTTTGTTGACACATGTCATTGTATCGCAAATGCGTAGATCAATGCACATGCTGTTGATCATAGGATTGTTTGGTCCAGACTCGACCGCTGCCATATAGCTGGAATATTGCTGAGTACAGCATTAAACAACAAACCAACCATCAAAATTAATATATAAAATGACAAAACAATCTTTTTAACCTACGAAGAATCACAATCCAATAAATTTTCAAAGCAAGTTAGTTACGCTCAAGGAATAGAAACATTTTTGCCAAGATGTAATCCAAATAATTAACTTGGAACATGACTGTGTGGATTAACTGGGTAAACATGTAAAACACTGTGAACAGATTTGTAGCATACATTCACAATTGAACTAGGAGACAAAGTTCCACACTTACCAAGTTCATGTACGCTGACATTAGCGTAAGTGCTGTTTGATCCCCGTCGCGGATGTTCCACTTGGTCCAAACGGGGCGATTGGGAGGGGTTTTGAGGACCCCCTCGGCCCGAGGGGAGCTGTTGAGACATCACCCTCGAGGAGTTGAGGGAGTCCGAACTGCTTGATGTACTACTGTGTGTCTCAAAACCTGGAAGACAAATCATGAAAACGTTATCACAGAAGCGGCCATCAAAATTGCAACAAGAGGTAGGCTCCTGGTCTTGTTGAGGCAAGGTGGGGTGAAATGGAGTTAAATGTTGTGTTGAAGATTGTTTCACCTATATAGCATTGGACATGTGTGGCGGCTTGTTCCAGACCACACATTGTGCCGTTTTGTCTTTAGTACTATCTCACTTTGTTTCCATGCTGCAGTTTAACATAAACACGCTACTATTAATTAACATTAAAATGCTGATCTGACCAGTCCATGTTTCAACACATATTGCGGATCGCAAGGCAGGGATACAAGTACCATTGTTTTATGTCTTTAGTATGATGCCGCCTTGTGAAATGGAGCTGATTGTTGGATAAAAGTGAGGTGTTCTTCCAGTATATGCTGCTCAAAAGTAGTTAAGGACCATGCGATCCTTAGTTAATCCATCATGATCCAAAACTTGTTTTGAGTATTATAATTTTTTCTTTAGAGTCTTGTAAGATTAAATTTGAAAATTTTACGAGTGAAATTTTCTCATTGGTGATTTCACTTGGTGAATGCTGCTTTAAGTCAGTGGACAGCAATGATCCAGCTATATTCCAGCTATGCCACATTGCTATAACCATTAAATATTCATGGCAAAACATTGGTATTAGCTCAAGGCCCCCACAAACAGCATGGGATACATATGAACCCTTTGAAGAACAAGTCTTGTGATGGGAACTACAACTAGGACACCCCAGCAGTAAATGTGTAAATTGACACTCTTAGTCTTACAACATTGTGTTACACACAAACTGAAGTTGAAGATTTAACAAAAGCAAAATGTTCTGATGTGAGGTGTTAGTGGAGTGAAATTCAAATGGTAAAATGAATAAAGAAAAACATATCAAAATGTTAACTCTAAATGAAATAAATGCAATTCATTATATGTCAGTATGAAAATAATGAAAATGGCATGACCACTAAACAGTGTTTATTCATCTGTGTTGTTACTGTTGCTTAAAATTGGAAACAGGCCAAATGGGTTTAGGCGTTGTTTCCAAAGCACCATGTACAACACTGTGCAACCATTTTAACCAACCAATCTTTATTTGTCATCAAGGATGACCATGCCTACAGTTAAACAATAGTCCTACCTATCAACATTAAGAAATTCCTGTAAGATGAAAATAACTCGGTAATGAGGGAGTTTAATGCAAATTTGAACAGCATTTCTGTTAAATGACAGCATATTAGCTTAATAATGTTATGCTGGGGGAGGGCAGTGAGATAGGAAGGACACATTAACCAAGGAGCAGGGTGTTAACAACCAAGGATTATTATCAGGGCAAATCTGGAATTCAAAACCAGGACCAGTGGATCCTGGTGTAGGAAAGGGACACAACTCAAGTTGCAGCGACTTCAAACATTGTGCCATCCATGCACTCTGGCCATGAGAATCATGAGAACATCATCCTGAGGTACACATGCTTCCATTCTATGGAACTATCTGTTCTAGTGATGCTACTGTGGGGAACAGCTGTCAAGCCGACGGCAGGAGAAACACATCCATGCACTACAAATAATGGGCAGAGTGTACAAGAACACTGACAGATGGAGTCACAGATTTACATTCAGGTACATAATAAAGTTTGTAATCATGTCCTAGTGGCAACAGTGTGTTCCATGGTGGTCTATAGTAATTACAGACTAGGTCACTAGCCTGAGCACATATCCATGGGGCTGGGTTGTAATGATAGACTAGATAACCCCAGAAGCTCAGTTATGCAGAGGGCGAGCACCTGTCAATTAAATGACAGTGACATCACACAAACTCACACAGCTGCCAATATGGCCACCAAATCCTATGTTCAGCAGTACCACACTGAACATGTGAGTTTGGGGCTCTGCCCAAACATAAGCTGTTCTGTGATGAGATAAGGTACAAACTCTAGATAACTGAACATTCTCAGGTGAAGATGTCTACACCACGCTTCTCACACTCATACAGACAGACAGACAGACAGACAGACAGACAGACAGACACACACTGATCATCTGGAGACTGTCACCACAGCAAGGTAAGAGCCCTGTAGAGTCTACCTAACCATCTACATCATGCTTGTTACTCAGGTACACAGACCGATGTGCAGGTGATGGTAAGCACAGGCATGGTATTCATGGCAAACACGTATAGAGATGTACGCCATGCTTGTTATACAGGTACACACTGATTAAGACGAGAAATGAGCAGAACCACCCTTTACAAATACTAATGGCTTAGATGGAAGTGATATCAAATGCCTGATACTTGTTTCACGTAAGTTTTGTTTCATTTTTAAGAGTCGTCTTCAACCTACATGATTTAAGTGTTCTGTTCCTGTTCTCTACAATGTAAATAAACAGAAATAATATTCAAGGCAAGTTGACTTAGATCTGTATTAGACAGAACTTCAGTCTCATAATAGAGTGTTTGCTTGACATATGAGGCAAATCTAAAGCAATGCAAGTCATTTACTCCTTTGGTGAAATAACATTAGCATAATATACTGGGCAAACTTAAACTTTGAAATGCAACTAACAAATCCAAAGGGACACAATTCTTAACAACATAGTTTGTCACCTAATACCATAAAACCCCTTTTATACTTTTTTGTGTTTTGTCTAGAAAATCAATTCCAGATAATAGAAGAATGGTGTATGAAATGCATATGTAATTGTATGTTGCATTCCAAAAAGATTATCCAGAAGAAGATATCTCTTAGTCTTAACTGAGAATGTCGCCCAACTTTAGATGTTAATTATTTTTCTTGCTTGTATGAACAATACCCAACAAAGAAATAAGACTCACAAACTTGGTTAATACAGTTGTATGTTTTCAACAAACATCTTCTATATCTCCATGGAGTGCATTTCAGTAAACCTACATTGACAACTGGATCCACTCCCATGTCTCAGGCAACTACAAATTACCTGCCCTTGATTTTCATTGACATTGTACCTACCAATCAAACATCGACAAGCGAAAGGGAAAGTAAGTGAGCATAGTTTTACGCTGCTTTTAGCAATATTCCAGCAATATCACGACAGGGGACACTGGAAATCGGCTTCACACATTGTACCCGAGCCCGGGTCTTCGGCGTGACAATCAAACACTTTAACCACTAGGCTACCCCACCGTCCCCGAAAGGGAAAGATTAAGAAAGGTAACTCTTACTACCCAGAAACCACCTTCAGTTTTAATGGAAATGAAGACACCTTTCCATCACAAGATTGTCTTAGGGATTTTTTGCGTGTCAGTTTTGCATAATATTTTCTCGCAAACTCTATCACATTCAGTGGAATTGTCTGAGCTATCGGTGATGTTGCTAACCCCACAGAGGCTTGTTTGCAAGTTGCATTCTGATTGGTTCATTAGACCAAATAGGGTAGCCAATCAGTTTGGCCAATCTAAATCACTGAGTGAGTGAGTTTAGTTTTACACCGATTTTAGCAATATTCCAGCAATACCAGAAATGGGCTTCACACATTGTGCCCATGTGGGGAATTGAACCCGGGTCTTCGACGTGACGAGCGAACGCTTTAACCACTAGGCTACCCCACCGCCCACAAATCTAAATCAGGGATGGGTACTTGAGATTGCGAGAACCACAGAAATGGCTCCTCAGGTAAGTGTAGGTTTACTAAAATGCTACCTAAGAGACAGAAATTGTTCAACAAAGTGCCTTCTATCATTCCATTCCAACCGAGTCAGTACAGAGGTGCATGTTATTGCTACAGTCAACCTAACGTGTCCGCCCTGTAGTGTGAGGGGCAGTGTTAGTACATCCATCTTACCCGGGCTACAGTCCCTGTAGTAGTAGCGATTGTTCAGATAGCGTGTGTAATAATTGTATGAATTATAGTCGGGGACTGCAACAAAAACAGTTCAAAGCATCTAGTGATTATGAAGATGAGGAATAACATTCACTGAGGAATACTCTGCAAAGTAATTATTATCAAAGCAATGAATACGAGTCATTGTGAACAAATTGTTAGTACTAACTTTTTAAAATATTTCTTGCATATTGTATCAAATTCATAAACTGTAGCAATTCTGAATGCATGTAAATAGAGTGGGCTCAAAAGCAGTAATAACATGACTACATATTAGGAAAGCGCATTGCCAATTCCCAATTGTTTAATCATCACCATGGCTGCCTATATCTCTACATCAAGCAGGATCTAAACCCTTATCTTGACAACCAATATGCAGATATTACCAGTGGGACTTGGACAGGCGTCAACCTGGTCTGTAAACAATAGAGGCAAAACGACCTGATGAGACCGCGTTTGATACCTAATCCAATAGAAAGCATGCGATACGATCTGTATCCCGATCCATAAGTTCTAAATCTCTCCCTTTTTGAAGGTGAACCACACGCCTGAATAATTATTTTTTTTAACTTCAGATAAAAAAGATGGGATAATGTAGGCGAGAAACATATAAACTTTGGGGCACTGTGAAGATTCCACTATTCATAGACAACCAGCAAATATTAGAAAATCTGCATAAACTGGCTCATGTACAATTTACCTTATTCATCACAATATAACTTGTAATTAATGTATCACATGTAGTGCGATACAGGAGTTCGAAATCAAGCCTCATGAACCATGTATTGCGATATATTGTACTGCTGTATCATTACACCTTATCAAACAACAGAGCACAATTTGGCTATCGATAATGTTAGTTTCAAATTATAAGGCCAAAACTAAATTCTGTGATTTGACAGAAGACCGGGCGTTACTTAAATGACAGTATATCAGTTAAAACAACACAGGAGTTGGATAAGAAAATTAGGAGTGTGAAACAACAAGACTGGCACAACAAGTACATCACAACACCCTTACGACATCATCCAATCAATACCCCTAATTACAACAACTCCTATACGATAGTCATTATAATAAACAACACCTTTACTACAACATACATCTCAACAAACGCCCTCACAAAGGTACTGTACAAATATACTTCCACAATGACCTACATGAAAGCCTACACTGTGTACTGCATGCAAAATGGAAATTATTTATTGCTTAACTTAACAATGACTATACATCTGAGATTATGAGCGACAGTTTAACAGAAACATTATTAAAGATGCAAGATCAATTCAGATTTGTTAGAGTTATTTCTGACAGAAACAAAGAGGGAAGTTTAAACATGAGTGCTATCCTTAACAATGTCATCGGAATCAACACACCATAAAGATGATGCAATGCAAATACAGACAGGAACCAGTCCCAGTGATGAGGGATTTGCTAGAGAGTGTGACACATTATTAGACTATCTCTAAGGCAATATGTGTACACACAAGGTGGCATGAGGAAACAATGAATAGATTTAATGAAGAATTACAACAAATTGAGTGAAAAGGCTAAATATATTTCCAAAGAAAATGCAAAATATGCACTTGTTATAACCATGAAGCTGATCCTGCACCTTATTTCAATACAAAGAAAAGTATTTTCTGTTACTTCCAAGAAGTTCTTTGGATGTCTTTCAAGTAGTTTTACATAAAAAAAGTCAAGCTAATGTATTTGCTGAAAAGGAAGCCATCTTACCTCCAGTTTGATGGTTGAATACCTGTGTCGGACGTATAAATCTTGACGCTCTTGGAGCAGAAGCAGGGTGCACCGGAGCCTGGTTTGCATAGATATGTGACGGTGTTCCTCCTACGCTGCCGCCACCCCGCCGCTGCCGCCACCATCTTGGGTTAATACTGGGGTTGAGGAGGTGGACATGATGGCAGCGGGTGATCGTGGACTTGTGTTGCCACGGTGATTGCTCATAGCCTGATTATGTTTGGGGAGAACTCTTACATTGCACAAATCTTCACAGTCCTCTGGTGCATTGTTAAATATCTGTGAACAGAAATATCAAAGGAAAATGGTAAGAAAAGCCTATTTCCTCCTTTATATTTGGGGAATAAAATGAAGCTTAAACAAGAGTACCGAACATATCCAATCTATTTAGAAACGACTGACTGACTGACTGACTGAGTTTTGGTTTTACGCCGCTTTTAGCAAAATTCCAGCAACATCACGGCGGGGGACACCAGAAATGGGCTTCACACATTGTACCCATGTGGGGATTCGAACCTGGGTCCTCGGCGTGAGGATTTAGAAACAAAACAAAAACAGTTGTGAAGTGTATGAATCAAGGCAAGTTCTGCAAAAGACACTGTGTAATCATCATTTGCATAATTTTGTGTCATTTGTTTTGCAGCTTAATGTTGCAGTGTGTAAATAATTACGATAAGAACAACAAGTGACTGGTGTTTATGAGCAACTATCCATGGTCTATCAACTAAGAGGCAGAGCTGAACTCCCCCATCCATTAAGTTGTCTCTTGTGACAAACAAGTTTTTTGGGACCATTTTTGGGACCATTTCTAAGGAACCATTTCTAAGGAACCACTGCTAAGGGACCAACCTATGTCGTGAGGTATGAAGCATCTTTGAAGACAGGTTGGTGTCACATGGTTAATAACATGGCAGCGTACATTAACTTAATCCGAGTTCAGAAGTCAAGGACTCTGAAACATACATCTCCGTACCTTATCATAGTTATGGATGAGTATTTCCACAACGATGTTGCAGAACTTGATATCCATGATGGCTGCCATCGTCTCTTCTTCTGGTCGCATCAGCGTTGGCCCAAAACAAACTCCCAAATTGGCCACGGTCATTTTATTCCTTTCATGTTCATTGGCCACTCTGTTCAGAACAATTGCATAATCAGAGTATTGTGTCCATCAAAATATAACACAGCTCTTACAAATGACTGGAAATTAATAATGAGCTAACAGCATCTTCAGGAACCATCTTGCCCCACATGACCTCCATGACATTCGTCAATTATTTTAACACGTCATCGTATCCCAATTGGAAAAGTCGATGTTCATTATTGTTGTGAATTGGTTGAAATCTTATAATTGATGATTGGTTCATTACAACCGACCAATCATCGAAAATAGTTGGCTAGCATTATTTACCAAATTGTCCTGGTTATGTTTGTTAATGCACAAAACAAAGAAAAAAGCGTAGGTTTTTTTGGCAAATTTCATGTCTTTAAAGGATGACTAGTATGTTAGGAACATAAATTTCCTGGAGTCTTCAAGATAAATTTTAATCATGACAAGGAACGAGCTTGTAGGGCTTATGAAACATAACAAACGAAACCAACCTTGTGATAAATATTGTTAATGCAAACAAGTGTTCCAAAATTGTTTGTGTTCGATTATGACAAAATGTGATTGATTGCTTGGTCGTTTAGTCATTGCGACCAATCTTCGATTATTTCAATCATCTGGACCACCACTAATGCTCATGATGTTGATCACTGGACTGTCTGGTCCAGACTCGATTATTTACAGGCCCACGCCATATAGCTGGAATTGTGCTGAGTGTGACGTAAAACAACAACCAACCAACCATCAAGTGAGTCGGTTTGTTGTTTGACACCTCATAGGAAAATATTTCAAGCTTATGTGAGTATGGGTTTTTTGTTGTTTGACACCTCATTCAGCTTCAGCAATATTTCAGCCATCACGACAGTGAAGTGAGTGAGTATGGTTTTATGCCGCTTTTAGCCACTAGGTTTTATACCTAGCTAGGCCCGACCCATCACGACAGTGAAGTGAAGTGAGTATGGTTTTATGCCACTTTTAGCCACAAGGCTAGCCCCGCCCTGACCCCGTCATACGACAGTGAGTGAAGCTGAAGTGAAGTATGTATGGTTTTATGCCGCTTTTAGCCACTAGGCTACCCCCCCTCATACCGACCCATCATAGCAACGACAGTGAAGTGAGTGAGTATGGTTTTATGCCGCTTTTAGCCACTAGGCTACCCCCCGACCCCGTCATACGACAGTGAAGTGAGTGAGTAAGGTTTTATGCCGCTTTTAGCCACTAGGCTACCCCCCGACCCCGTCATACGACAGTGAATGAAGTGAGTAATGTAAGGTTTTATGCCGCTTTTAGCAACTAGGCTACCCCCCGACCCCGTCATACGACAGTGAAGTGAGTGAGTATGGTTTTATGCCGCTTTTAGCCACTAGGCTACCCCCCGACCCCGTCATACGACAGTGAAGTGAGTGAGTATGGTTTTATGCCGCTTTTAGCCACTAGGCTACCCCCCGACCCCGTCATACGACAGTGAAGTGAGTGAGTAAGGTTTTATGCCGCTTTTTTAGCCACTGAGTGTAAGGTTTTACCGCTAGCCACTAGGCTACCACTGCCCCGTCATACGACAGTGAGTGAAGTGAGTATGGTTTTATGCCGCTTTTAGCAACTAGGCTACCCCTGACGACCGCCGACAGTGAAGTGAGTGAGTATGGTTTTATGCCGCTTTTAGCAACTAGGCTACCCCCTGCCCCCGTCATACGACAGGGTGCGGTCAATGATTGACTCTGGTATAGACAAGTAAATAATTGATGTTGCCATAAAAGATAAATACTTCATCCATTTTGTTGCATAGAGTTACTGCGGGCCAATTCGAACACAGAACCACCAAGTGTTTAGATTTTGAGAAAACTAACTCCACTCACCTATGCAAATGTTTTAGAAGCAGGTCCAACATATCAAAGTTTGACTCGGGCAGCTGATGAACCAACTTGTGAATATCCAGAATTCTCAATGTCTTTGACTCTTGCTCTGAAACACATCAGCCATGGATGGGTGGATATAAGTAGTCTGTACTCATTCAGTTTTATCTTCAACACAAAAACATTTCTTTAGTAGAATGTTATTGTCACCTCAGTGGACAATATTACAGCTATGTCACAGTGACCTGGAAATGATCCATACAAGACTAAGGTATCCAGTGGTTGACAGACTGAATATCATCAGATAGATGCTGAGGTGCAAAATCTAAGAGCTCTACTCGGTCATTCTGACCACCCAATCTCCAATTTGTGAACAGGAGTTAATTACGTCCTCCGGGCACAGTGACATGATCATTCAGACAGAGTGACCACTCAAACCCCATCTCGAGGCAGGAGTTAATATACCGTAACAGCTCAATCACCACAAGGCTCATGAAACAACAACAGCAGATGAAACATTCAAGTACCTAACAGTTCATGTATTGTCATAAATCATCCAAAGGGAAATAGATGTTTTGTGACTTCAACCTCTCATCTTAACCCAATGTCCAGTGACGATTCACTCACCAGTTATACACCAAATAGGCCATATATTAAAGTTATACATACTGGAAGCTACTTCTGTATACAGGCAGATGTTTAGTGCCTGGGGTAGACTCGAAAGGTTTGGGGAAAGACTGCACTAGGCTTTAATACTGGCATACATTGCATGCATAACCATACCATAATTAACTTATACCACCCACAGTGGCACTAAATGTAATTTGTTCCAAATATCAACATGTCATAAACTGGAGCTTACTTGCTGCTTTGATAAACTCTTCATGAAGCTTGAAAGACATCAGTGGTTCGGGTAGAGACCTGCAAATACAACAAGAAGACAAAGTCATCAATATCCCCCACAATGGCAAAATACTCTTCATGATTATGTCTACGAGTTATGATTATGTTAAATATTTAGGTGTGTATATAGAAAAGTGGAAGGAGAGTATTGAAAGGTTTTCAAAGTTCAGCTCCGGAAAAGAGCACTACCACCAATTTCAGTCTAAGTCAAACTTGTTGCCATGGAAATGCCTAAAATATTTTATTCAGAATTCCAAAACTACCAAAAGGCACCAGTACACCACCAGACCAATCTATGTGCCAAGTTTGGTGATGAAATAGTGAACGGTTTTAGAGTTCTGCTCCGGAAAAGACAAATGTGCATGGACGGATGGACGGACAGACGGACGGACGGAGTCCATTTTAATACCCCCCGCAAAACGCGTTGTGGGGATAACAAAAGCAACATTCAGGAACTTCAGGACGCATTATCAAGTTAAGGGAAGAATTATCAGACAATGATACAGGACACTAGAAAGACACTTTCTCAGAGCTAGGCACACAATGTAAAAGTCATTTGTTGATGAGGTAGAGTGAGTGAGTTTTACGCCGCTTTTAGCAATATTCCTGTAATATCATGGCAGAGGACACCAGAAATAGGCTTCACACATTGTACCCATGTGGGTAATCGATCCTTTTAATCCCAATTCTTAACCCATGGTTAACCTACAGTAGACAGACTCTTTGTAGACCAGTCCTTGTTTTATACATACTGAGCAGGGCAAATTCATGTTCAATCTTTGAACATCTTTTGGTATGACCAGGTTCTCTGGACAGACACTATTCACTTGACCATGGAAGCAGATGGACATACAGACTAGATAACAACAATAGTGACCATAGACTTACCTGAGGTAATTTTTCACAGCACTAGTGATTGTCTTGGTTTCCCAAGTAGTAGGATCATCCAGCTGTATCTTGTCTGATTTCCTCCTGTCTGTGGCACACAAGTAAAACAATGAATGACACAAGATCCTGAGTCTCTACGATAAAGGGAGACAATTCACCATTACGGTGTTGTAACTGGTGAAATAGAAACATTAGAAGTGGTGTGTATTTCAATCATAATCAACCTTGCTCAGACTGTTTTAGTAACTTGATAAGCTGCTTCATATTTGCATACCATTGCAAAGCTTATTGGTAACTCTTAAATGAAAATAATGTTTGTTTGCTTGTACTTGCAGCACTCGGCAATACTCCAGCTTAATGATAATCAAATCTGGATCAGAAATTCAAGTGATTAATATTGTGAGCAACAATCCAAACTGTCAGGTTGTAATGAAGCAAAAGAAGCCAAGTCACTGAGGAAGACTAATGGATCAGTTCGTGTATCTATACTGAACAACATTAGAAACGCACCACACTAAAATGCACTGATGATGCTCAGACATTATTATTATTATTTATTATTATTATTGGATATTTATATAGCGGACACATCCAGGATACTAGTGCATGCTCAAGGCGCTGGTAGTTGTTCCTAAGTCAAAGACATCATTGGATGTCAATCTCACCTCGATCATTGGATGTCAATCTCAACGTCACATCGTATTATCAATCTCAACTCCCTGAGGAGTATACAACTCTTGCAGCCACTAGGAGCACCGAGTTAATGTGGCTTTCCCATCCTTACGAGGCACCCATTCACAGCTGGGTGGACTGGGACACATAGTCACAGTACTTTGTCCAAGTTCACTGCACGTTGCTGTACCCGCAACTAGGTGTTTGCACGTATTCATGTGGCCACCATCTGGTCATATAACAACGGATTCGTGGGTTCTTTTAAGTGCACAGAGTTGTGTACTGTACACTAGGGGTTGTGACAACACTGAAAGAGTCTGCACACAGAGTTGACTCCAAGGTTTTTACATCATAGGTACATTTCAGTCTGACGGAGATATTTCGTATTATATGGGTGGAGCCTTTCTAATGTTGTTCAGTATATTACAACCAGCAAACGCTGGGGACCTAGTGTATTCTGAAATCTCCATAGACTCTTTCCAGTGGATGTTTGCTCAAAGTTCTGTGTTTTCCTTTACAATCTGAAGCACTGGCTTGAGTGGGAGAGTAGGAAAATGATAACACGGCCAGACCTACCTAAACCCATCTGTATTAGCCTATTGACTTTAGAGTTGACGCCCACCACTCTGTACAGCCCCTGTTCCTGAAGACCTGATGCAGGGAGATAAAGCATTATATCAGTGAGTCAGTACTTCAGTAACAGCATTTGGGATTCAAAACCAGATTATCACATCCTGACAAGGCAAAGGGACACAAATCTACAGTATTTTGGGTGAATAAGACCTCATAATATAAAGATAATACAAAATTTGTCATGTTTATATCTATAAAACCATATGCAACTGATTGTCAATAACATACAACACTAAACATGGACTGAAAGACCATCTTACCCCTCGTTTCAACCGCTGCCAGACATCTCTTCACAAATGTGAAACCAACATCGTCTAGGAAGGCTGCAAGAACCAGATGGAATCATAAACACGAATCACATTAATACAGTATTACATTCTTTTAGAATGAGTTGGTGATTGATAAAACTGATCACAGGCACACAACAGCTAAAAACAGCATGTAAATCCTGGAAAGTTCCTCGCCATGAGCACATTTTGAGTGGCTGACATTAGCTTTAAGAATATTAAAAATAACATATTTATGATGTGCTGAATTCCGCACCGCAAAGGGGAACGCTGTAAGCACCGACATGATAAATAAGAGGATAGAATTAAAAACTTAAGGTCATTTGAGGTTGAGATGGAGCGAGTTCCACAGGGTTGCTGCTGAACAGAACATTCTGGCATCAGAAGACCTGAGTTTGTTCATAACAACACATAAGAAGATTGTTCATTGAAGCTTTTGACTGCCTCTGGAGAGTTTTGAGACACTCTGTTAAGATTACCAAACATCAAAGCTACTTTTGTTGGAACTGCGATTTTTAGCTGACAGTATTGACTGGCTGGCATGTGTCTGAACTTCTTAGTGTTATGCGACCTGACAAGATGTCACAGGTTAGCATACTTTCCTGATTAAACTACTGACACTACATGACAATGTGCAATTAAGGAAACAGGATGAGAGGAAGATATTTATTTTATCATAAACTGATAGTGTGTGGAAGTTGATATAAGAAACATACCTCCTTGTTGGTTTGAAACACAATAACCACCGTGAGTGTTTTCAATTGTATACTTTCAGTACTATCCTGCTCACAGAACGTTTCAGATTGACACAAATCAACACTGTACCAGACAAGCCAGTGTGTAGGAAGCACACAATTAACCAAGTCACGCAGCATGACCAAGTGACTCGTCCTACGAGTGAGTGAGTTTAATTTTACGCCGCACTCAGCAATATTCCAGCTATATGGCGGCGGACTCGTCCTACGATAAGAGAAGCAATAGATTGTGATCTATTCAAGCCTGCGTCTGAATTCTCTTTTGGATCACTCACCTTCTTCATTTCTTGCTTTCGGGGCATGGTACACCTGCAAGAAGAGGCACATCTTAAATAGTTCATAGCAACTAACTGAATGAACACACATCTATAATAGATAATAACAAGTAACTTAATCACCACAAAAATCTTCAAAAGTTTACATTAAGCGATTGAATTTAACCTAGTTCATACTAAATATTATATGTATATATTTCAAAAGCATCTAACTGTATAATGAAATTCTGAGAATGTTTTTCACCAAACACTGGAATGTCATCAAGACAAAAAGTATAGACCATACACAGTGTGTCAGTAACAAAGAAGTTTTGTTCATTTGTTTGTTTGTTGTTCAACACAACACTCAGCAATATTCCAGCTATATGGCGGAGGTCTGTAAATCATCGACTCCTGACCAGATAATCCAGTGATCAACAGCTTGAGCATCGATCTATACAATTTGGATACGATGACTTGTATCAAGTCAGTGAGCCTGAACACCCGATCCCATTAATCATCCCTTATGACATGGGATGCTGAAGACCAATTCTAACCAGGCCCCGATTTCTCGAAACAAACTTAAGTTTTTACTCATATTTCAAACTGAGTTTGACTATTTGAAACAGCTGAATTTTGAACTCAGCTGCATTTTTTTAATAAAAAAGCCCAAAATACTTAAGTATTCTATTCACCAAACTCAAGTTGTCTACTATGTTTGAGTTCAATATCGATTTCAGTTCATTCTGGGAAATGCATTTTCTCAAATTTGAGTAAAACTTTGAACTTAAGTCAAAACTCAGACTTAAGTTTGTTTCGAGAAATGGGGGCCAGATCTTCAAGAGTAAACCAAAGCCAGGAAACTACACATGACGTACCGGTTCCTTCCCATCCATAGCACTCATCCAGGCCTTCCTATCTTCTTCTGACAAACACTGGAAAGTCATGGTCACATTTCTGAAACAAGGAGAGGGGGGTCTGAATTCACATCAGTCTGCAGTCACACTATCACCTTAAATGAGTGAATGAACAGTCTCAGCCAAAACTGTTAGCTGTTAGTATCACATGCTGTAGAATTAAGTGTTATGACATTAGCTAAGTAGTGAGTGAGCGAGTGAGTTTAGTATACGCCCCACACTGCAATATTACAGTTATATGGTGGCAGTCTGTAAATAATCGAGTCTGGACCAGACAATCCAGTGATCAACAGCATGAGCATTGATCTGCGCAATTGGGACATGATGACATGTGTCCACAAAGTCAGCGAGTCTGACCACCCAATCCCGTTAGTCGCCTCCTAACGACAAGAATTGGTTGTTGAAAGTCAATTCTAACCTGGATCTTCACCGGTCTATGAGCTACGTAGACTGACCATTATTTTACTCGACTTGCTTCATATGATGAGTGGAGTCAGATACTGAGTATAGTTTACTGTCATAATCAGCATTATTACAATGTCATGTGAACAGCATGTGGTTGATCAAGCCTGGAAGAGAATAACTAGTGGTCGATAATGTGAACACATGCACATAGTAACTGTAAATTTAATAAGTGTATAAAGTCACATTATCAGTTATTGAAGAATAATGACAATTATTATGGATATACAACTTCTATTATTCTGTGGAGGCGACATTACATACAGAATAATATAGAGGAGTTGTTGTTACAGTAGATAGGAATGAGTTCTTTATACAATAGATGAGGTTGATGTACAACGTTTGCATGAGACATCGAGTAAATTGATAGGAAGCGAGTAGGGTGACATACAAGGACTGAATTAGAGCTTATACAACTGATAGGAAGCCAGGTGGTTGTTTATACAATGGATGGGGTTGATGTACATAGTTGGAATGAAACAGGTAATGTACACAGGTAAGAAATATATCGATTACTTTATCAAGTGATGGTAGGCATTGGGAATGTAGTATCCTTCATCTCTGTTGAGGGCGGGTCCTATCTTCTTGATGTGTACTGCTTCCAAAAGTTTACGAATTTTGTAGTCTGACTGGTTCTTTATAATGGTTTTGGTCTTGTCCCATTTGATGGTGTGGTTAGGATGGGCTTTGATGTGGTCGGCAATGGCTGATTTAGAATAATTTTTCCTAACTGAAGCCTGGTGTTCCTTGATCCTGAGGGTGAGTGGCCTTGATGTTTCTCCAGCATAGGAGTCACCGCAGTCACATTCTATGTGGTAAACCACACCTGAGGGGTCTTGCTTCTGGGACAACCTAGGTCTTCCTGTGGCCTGCAAGAGGTTCTCGATGCTGTTGCCCTTTGGAAGGTGACGTCTATGTCAGCTTGCTGCTTCAAGAGTCGTTGGATGTGATGGCTACCATCACTTGATAAAGTAATCAATATATTTCTTGTGTACATTACCTGTTTCATTCCAACTATGTACATGAAGTTGTATATCCATAATAATTGTCATTATTCTTCATCAACTCAACTTCTAAAATGCCCATCAAAGAAGTTATCAGTTATTGCCAGGTAAAAATCTTCTCTAACCTCCCATTCAAATTCATAATATTATAAAAACAGATTCCACTCTTTCTCAAGTGGCATGCTGTACACGGTTCCATTCTGTACCAACAAGTTCAAACCAACTAAACCATGTCAGTCTATACAATCTTAGTACTAGACATACTTACAGAATATATCACTGGGGATACCTAGGGTACAGGCACAGATTTACAGCACAGATTTACAGCACAATGCCCTCTTTCAACAAGACCTTTATACCAGAAATACTTCATTTACATATTATATTATTGTGGAACCCTGCAGTACTGCCCCGGTCTTATGAGCACTTACCATGACATTTCTGTACGAAATGAGGAACTGCACTTAACACATTCCTGTATTTTAATGTGAAACTTGACAACTTCCATGTATCTATCTCCTGCATAACACCACCTGATGAGGAAATATATGCTTCCAAACAGTTACCATGTGGTAAACTTGCATGATAAATGTACTCACTTTTCTTTCACTGTTAGATCAAAGCAGAAACGTTTCTCTATGGAATCTGAGGCACGTCTGAAAGAAGAGCAGTCATAATTCAACAAGTGACGATGATGAGGTGATACAGAGAGAATACTACACGAGGTCTCATTACATACGAATTATCACGAAATGAGTGTCCTTTATGGTATAATGGCGTATGTAATGATCGCGAATGTCATATGTAATGAACCAGTGTCAGTATTTATTTTATTACCCGTCTTACATGCATTAAATTGAAAAGATAAGCGTAGTTTTGTTATTTTTATGGCTTCAAACCGAACCGGTTTCATAAAGAGGTTGCGGAAGAGTTTTGTACTGTAGTACAATATTTGCATGACGTCACACTGTAATGACGTCACTGCCTTGGTAACCGACATCATGATGCATGTCAGTTGTCATCACCTCGTACAGCCTCCTACAGTAAACTACTCCGTAGCACCCTGTTTCTTGGTTTGCAGTTGGTTCATTCGGCTAACATCACTGGTGGAAACATTGCATTTATGTTTTTTCGACGGATATAATGTCTCAGTTCAACTCACAATTAAACAGCGACACGGCAACGTGTGCAATGTTTAGATTCCCATAATGCATTTAAGTTGTAGAATGAATGAATTCACGTGTTTGTTATGAATTTAAATATAGTTACGTCAGAATGTGACCTAATTGAGAGGTCATTGGTTATCCAATCAAATCGTTAGAATCTCAGGTCAAGTCATTACGACACAGGTCAACGCGATACGACACTCGTGTGACGTATGAGATTAGTATGCAACTACCAATACGCTGACCACGTGGGTAATAAAACATAAGGGAACACAGTATAATATTCAAAGAGTGAATGAGTCTAGTTTTATGCTGCTTTCAGCAATATTCCCACAATATGATAGGGTACACCAGAAAAGAGCCTCAAACATTGTACCCATGTGGGGAATCCCCGGGTTTTCAGTGTGACGAGTGAAAGCTTTAACCACAAGGCTACCCACCTCCCCATATTGTTCAAAGGGTTATAACTAATAACATCAGAGAACCCAACCCAACAATCTAAGGAAAACAGAGTCATGACTGGCTGAAAGCCAGGCCTGATCACCCATGGTGTGAGTTGGGGGTGAGCGTATGGTCGGCTCTGCCATTTTGTTTCACTTTCACACATACTATGACATGCGTTCAGAAAAACTTTGTGAAACTTCATCTTCAATAACACGCAATATACACAATCGACACCCAAAGGATCACACGCTAAGTTTCTGAATGCTTTTACTAGTGTTCACTCAAATAAATCACCGGTGACAAAAATGTAATTTTTAGAGTAAAATTGATATTTTATACTTATCCTGACTCATGCTCTTTTGCTTGTCTTCTTCTTCTTGCGAACATAGTGGAACACTTGTATCTCCTTATTTGAAGCTCCCTTCAAAATAAAATCACTAATTGGTACTCACCACGAGTTGCTCCCCTTTGTCTCCCCTGGCGGGAAAAGGTGTCGCCACCCTCTGGCCATGTGCTCCACTCTCTCCTGATTTAGCGAGCCCAACACTTGAATTACAGGGAAATCCAAAGTGTTATGTAGGGGAGGATGGGAGAGCTAACCTCATGAGTCAGGATAAGTATAAAATATCAATTTTACTCTAAAATTACATATTTTTCCTTATCCTGACTCATGCTCTTTAACTATGTAGCATCCCTCACTGAACGGAGGTGGGTAACAGAATACTTTGGATTTATAATTAGTGATTTTGTATAGATATACTGTAATATCCCCTCTGGGGAACTTCATGAAGCCTTAGATTTAGGATGTTTCCTGTATAAGAAAACCATAGGTTATATAAAGCCATTAAAGGGAATTACATTATGAATATATTGAACAATACATATAAATTATATATATATATATATAGGTGACTCTGATAGAGGCACTGAAATTGACTATATCAAGTATATGCTTAAGGTAGAATACTTAAGCTGAACATATATACATAGCCCTAAAACTCCTTAGAGTTATAAGCTAGATGAGTATGTATAAAATACATATTAATCTTGTGAGGCTAATATTTTAAGCCCTCTGAGGGACTGTCAGTTGCTGGCGAGGACCAGTGGTCGAAATGGTGAATGCACCAGAGACATCTTCTGTAGTGATGTCTCTTAGGTAGTGATTAGCAAATACCATGTTAGATTTCCAATAGCATCCTTCCATAATGTCGTGTTCAAGGAACAGTTACCGTGTAGAGGCGAGGGTAGAGGCCAGTGCCCTGATCTCATGTGGATTTGATGCTGTTGGTGGGTCCAAGCCTGCTGCCTTGTAGGCCTGAGGAGAATGACAGTCCTTATCAAATAGATATTGTGGTCGTGACACTTCTGTTTGATTAAGTGGCGATAATGGGATGAATAAGCGTTTGAGAAATCTTCTCCTTGTTTTGGATAAATTAAGTAAATAAACTTTGGCTCTTACGGACACAGTGATAGGTCTTGTGTATCTTGTGATCGAGAATAGAGGATAGCGCCGGGATGTGGAATAATCTGTCTGGTTGACCTGGCAGTTGATTCTTTGCAATGAAATCCCATCTTAATCCGAGGTGTGCTGTGTTATGATTGTCATCAAACTGTATCCTCTAAGTAATCAGGCGTGAATTTCAGACATTCTTGCTGCTGTGGCTAGCGATACTTAGAAACAATGTTTTCTGTGAGAGAAATTCAAAGTTTGTCGATTCAAAGGGTTCATAGACCTCACTACGTGAGGTGTTGTAACACTACATTCAGATCCCAAGCTGGGCGTGGAACTTCGCTTTTGGTCCTCAATCGGAGCTCGTAGTAAGGCCAGTAACTCTGGAGATCTTGTCAATTTGACACCCGTTCTCATGGTGATTACAGAGCTAAAGCGGCAAGATATGTTGATATCGTTGAACCTTTTAAATGTTTGTTTTGGCGTAGGTAACACAAATAGTCTGCCACTTGAGGTTGTGAAGCCTCTCTTGCTGTAAACCCTTTCTTTGTTGCATAATTTTTGAAACTGTGCCACTTATTGATGTGGTACAAGTTACGAGTTGAGTAGCGTAAGGCAAAGCGTGACTGCTTTTGCAGCCCTGGCAGAATATCCTCTCTTGTTTAAACACATTTGTATACAGTCCATCGTGTAGTTGGAACATTGCTGGGTTTCCGTGCACTTGTTTGGTGTGAGGATGAATTAACAGGTTTCGGCGCTTGGGTAGCTCCAGTGTTGGTTGACCGATTTCTTGAATTAGTATGGGAAACCGTTCTGGCTTGACCAGTAGAAGCAACAACCAAAAGAAGAGTTGTAAGGCTCTGTGTTTGTCTGATTTTCTGTAATGCTTGATTATTATTGCTGGCTGGAAGCAGCGTCGCGTGAAGGCCTTCCATGATAGACTTAAGTCCGTTGCCCAAAGCAGGGGTCTGGGACTGGTGACCACGAATGTCGGTAGCTGATTGTTGAATCTGGCGTGGCGAATAGGTCTATTAAGCGGCGCTCTAATTGCTTGATTATCTGTGCAAAAATTTCCCGGTTGATCATCCACTCTGTCGGGTGATGGTAGATGAGGCGAGAGAGCGTCTGCTAGTATATTTCTGGCTCGGGGAATGTGCACTGCTCTGACATGTAGATTTAGATCTTGTATTAAATCGAACAGTTGAAAGCTTAGGTTCAAAAGGTTCATCGATCTCGTTGAGCCTTGCTTGTTTATGTAGAAACGCCACTGTCGAATTGTCTGTATGGATCATTAAGTGGCATTTTGTAGAAATGTGCTCCAATGTAGAATGGCGTTGATTACAGCTTTCATTTCTAGACTGTTTATATGGAGTTTGCATTCTTGCTGATTCCATAACCCTGATATCGTGTGGTTGGTGAGATGAGCTCCCCAACCTTGGAGTAACAGCGATCTACATACAGATGGGTTTTGTATTCCTGCTCTGCTAAACAAATCCCTTCTGAACATTCGATTTCTTGGTCCACCATAGTAGATGTGGTCTGAGATGTTTCGGTAGACTGAATGGTTGTACATCGTAGAGATGTCGTTGATGAGGACCTGTAGGGGCGTAACTGTAATCTGCCTGTGACAGTCATGTCTTGGGCTGATGTGAGAAGACCTAGTAGGCTCTGCCATTGTCGCAGTGGTAACGGGAGAGTAGAGCTGGTGGAATGGTCTGTTGTATCTTGAGCCAACGGTCTTCTGGTACCATAATACGGTTGCGATTTGTGATGAATCGAATACCTAGGAACTGTAGGTCTTTGCGATGGTACTAGGTCCGACTTGCGTATAAGTTTACTAACCAACCTAGTTGTGTTAGTAGCTTTATGATGTAATTTAACTGTAGTTTGAGAGCGAGTGGATCTTGATCTACTTGTATCCCGTCGTCGAGGTAAAAGCGCACTCATAGCCCCTTGCGATGTAGAAATTTGATAATCGGTTTAAGTTATCCTCAGTGAATAGCCAGGGGCTGATGATATTCGAATGGGAGTACTTTCCACTGGTAATGTAGCCCTTCTAGAGTAAATCGTAGGTATTTCCTGGAATCGGGATGAATGGGGATGTGCAAGTAGGCATCCTGTAGATCTATGCTGCCCATGTAGTCCATAGGGCCGAATCATCTGGCGTAACTGAGGTAAATGTCATCTTGAAAACCGGTGGTTTTGCGTAGATAGTTCTTGTTGAAAAAGCTCATGTTGTAGATGAGTCTGTATTTCTCCGTGGAGTTTTTCTTGGGAACTAGGAAAACTGGGGAGTAGAAACCTGGTTGACGTTTGCTTGATCTATTACTTCTATGGCCTGTTTGGATAGGAGTGATGAGACAGCCTCTTTTATCTTTGGTAGTTGTTGCGCTTGTAAATGTCGAACTTGGGGGTTTGATTGTCAGCGGAGGCTTGTCCTGTAGAGGATCACGAAATCCGTGTTGAATAATGTTGGAAGCGTAAGGATCTTGCAGTATTCCCCAGTTTTCCCAGTGTAGTTGGAAGTCCACCCACTTGAGCTGGTTGTACTGGAACGGCTGGGGGTGGAAGACTCCAGTCGTTCCGAACCTGTGTTTCAGCGTCTATAATTGCGGGAACCTCTGGGTGTCCTGCCTCTTCCTGATCCTCCTCTATAGTTGCCATATGGGCGACGAAAAGAATCTTTACCTCTAGAGCTGGCTATCTTCCTGTCTCTTGCTCTTTGTAGGCCCGTGAACTTAGATCTGCCTGAGTATCTTTGTGAAGTCTGACGAATGACGCTGGCTAGTGTGTCCATCGATCTAATCATAAGGACTTCCCTGGAATCCTTAGAGACTTCCTTGGCGACCTTGTCGATTTCTCCGTCAAAGATGGATGTTGTCGACCACGGGGCTGTATAAAGTGGGGCTGTAAAGTTCTCCCCCCAATTACAGGAGGCGAGGAGGCCTTGACGACGAGCTAAGGTCAGTGCTGCTGAAACAGATGTAAGATGATCCGTTAAAAACTGCTGATCTTTCTTTTGCATAAGTAAGGCAGAATAAATCATTCTATCATCTTCCGTCGTGGAATCCCGGAATCTAGTAATAAGAGTCTCATTGATCGTCCTAGATCTATTTAACCCAAAGAACATCGCCTCTCGTCATGGTTTCTATATGAGCCAACTTGCGATCATCCATCTTGTAAATCTTGTTCTTTACATCGCTGATGATCTTATAGTTCTCATCGATGTCCTGGGCCTTGTAGAAGGAGTCCATGTTATCGTGGAGAACTTCTTGGCTTGAAAGTTGGGTAGATGTGGTATCTGAACTTTCGTAGCTTTCTGAAAGCTGCATCTAGATTCTGTGGCACTGCCTAATCGGGTCGGTCGTCGGGGTAGAGTGATTGCATCTGGATCATCTTCCTTCATCAAATACGTCTGAGCTGTATTGCCACTTTTAGATGGTGATGTGAGATTTAGGTTATTGACCATCCAATACCGTATCTCTGCATCAGAAAATATGATTCCTCCATCATCCTCAAAACCATCATCATTAATAAATTGTAGATGCTCTTCGGGACTGCGTGTAGCTGTCTGTATATCTGATGAGGTTTGTGGCGATCTAGTTGACTTGTAGCGCGCTCTATGTGGAGATCTGATGGGTGATCGACCTGGTGATGAAGCGGTGGAGATCGTCTATGGGATGATCTTCTCGGAGACTTGTGAGGTGAATGTTGATAGCCAGCGAAGCTCTTGGCAGTCCTCGATGTTCTTCTAGACGATGAAGATCTGGAATCATATGTCCTTCGCCGAATGCCAGCGAAGCTTCATTGCGTCCGGTCCGGGATCGATGATATGACCTTCAGCGAAGGCTTCCGTGATGTCTGATGGTCTGAGTCCATATCTAGAGATGAAATCGAAGATGGTGATGATCTCTCCGAAGGCCTTCGGCGAAGGCTGTACATCTAGGTCCTTCGTCAAGGTGGTGCGGGACTTCCTTCGCGAAGGTGACATCGTCTTGGCTGCTCGTTGGCGGGGGGGTGCCTCTGGGGTGCTGTCTCACGTTGGAGCCTTCGCTGGCTTCGGACCCTGCTGCGCAGTTTGTAGTGGTCCTCCATGATGTTCATAATCTGCCGCATCATGTCTTCTGGGATGATCTGTGGCCGAAGTCGTCGGCGTCTTTTCTGCGATGGGGTTCACATCAATGGCGTCTGGCGTCGGTGTAGAGGCATCAGGCTGCATGGAGATCTCTGCAGAAGTCACAGTCGCTGACACCGGTTGCTTCTTCTGCCGTGAAAGTCGGGATGATTATCGGCTGATCATCGTAGAGGCCCAACTCTGCTGCTGGAACGATCTCGGCTGAAAGTTCTTGCTGTCTTCGTGAATTTCCCTTTGGAAGTCTGGCGCTGCCCTGGTGTCCTCAATCTGCGTTGAGACGGCGATGAGGCCCTCTTAGACTTAGTCTGCAATGACGGGATGTCTGGGGAGGCCGGTCGCTTTTCTTTTCAGGTAACGGATCATGCGTCCCACGTTCCTCTGCCGCGGGGTCTCTAGCAGAACACCAGGCGGAGAGGGTCGATCGCTAGCAGCTGACTGGAAGGAATATCTGGACTCTCTGCCATGTTTTGCCCTTGTTTTGCGTGATCTATCTGCAGCACGTCTTAAGACGCAAAGATGATATTTATTAAATGCAGAATGAGATAAATTAATGCAGTAACTGCAACGTGAATTAAACGTAGAACGGGCTAGGGAACAACTAGGGCATATTACATGTGGATCGGAGGCAGAAAACGTAATCTACAAATCGTACAGATTTTCATGAACGTAAAGCTAGCTGAACAATCACGAATACACGTGAATAAACAGTAGAAATACGATAATTAATCAATACAAATAGTAAAGGATACTAGCTATACCTCTATAGTAACCTATGAGAGGTAAAAACTAAGAGATTATCAAAGGATATGTGTGTAAGGAGACACAAGGCGCTCTCACATCCTGCTCACTGGGCGAAGAAGGAGAGAGTGAAGCACATGGCCAGAGGGTGGCGACACCTTTTCCCGCCAGGGGAGACAAAGGGGAGCAACTCGTGGTGAGTACCAATTAGTGATTTTATTTTGAAGGGAGCTTCAAATAAGGAGATACAAGTGTTCCACTATGTTCGCAAGAAGAAGAAGACAAGCAAAAGAGCATGAGTCAGGATAAGGAAAAATTTACAAAATTGTATACAGTAAAAAATAAATCAGAATTTTTAAAAGAGAAATCGGACAGCAGATTTTGTATTTAAAAATCGGAGTAACTCTGCCGAAATCAGAGGGGTTAGCATCTCTGTAACATGCATGCATCAGGCCCCGATTTCTCGAAACAAACTTAAGTTCTTACTCAAATTTCAAACTGAGTTTGACTATTTGAAACAGCTGAATTTTGAACTCAGCTGCATTTTTTAAATAAAAACGCCCAAAATACTTAAGTATTGTATTCACCAAACTCAAGTTGTTTACTATGTTTGAGTTTATTATCAATTTCAGTTCATTCTGGGAAATGCATTTTCTCAAATTTTAAGTAAAAATTTGAACTTAAGTCAAAACTCAGACTTAAGTTTGTTTCGAGAAATCGGCACCAGAACATACAACTGCTCAAAATGTGAAACAATTTTGGATGTCACTTCTCCTTGGGAGCAGTGGGGTAGCCTAGTGGTTAAAGCATTCGCTCGTCACGCTGAAGACCCAGGTTAGATTCCCCATACGGGAGTGAGTATGGTTTTACATCGCTTTCAGTAATATTCCAGCAATGTCACGGCGGGAGACACCAGAAATGGGCTTCACACACTGTACCCATGTCTACCCATGTCAGGAATTGAACCAAGGTCTTCAGTATCACAAGCGAATGCTTTAACCACTAGTCTAACAGAACACCCCTTGATTTAGGTAATTAACTACTCATACCTGACACAGGAGTCAAGGACATAGCGGTCGGGAGTACTCTGAAACACAGGAAGAGGAAATAAGCTGTAAATACTCATGAAGAACCTTTGTCATTTATATGCCTGCATGACTGTTTGTTTGTGTTGTTGTTCAACGCCACACTCAACAATATTCCAGCTATATCACGGTGGTCTGTAAATACTCAAGTCTGGAGCAGACAAGCCAGTGACTGACATCATGAGCATCAATCTACACAAATAGGATACAATGACGAGCAGCAAACAAAACTGTGAGCCTGACCATCTCATCTCAATGGATGTCTCTTACGACAAGCATGGGTTCCTGAAGATCAATTCCAACCCGGATCTTCATGGATGTGTGCCCATAAAAGCAGTGTTTCCACATGCAATGGATGAAGTCTAACTAATTGCACTTCAACATGATCTGCATAAAAACTGCATCAAATCCTTTATGATGGCATAACATGGCCAGCATTGATTACAACATGAAATTAATGGACACAATAATTATCTAAGGATCTGTTATTAAAGCAAATGTTAGCTAATGAATACATTAGGGCCTTGGTAATGCTCTCACATGTGGGTGGGTGAGTGAGTTTAGTTTATGCCGCACTCAGCAATATTCCTGCTATATGGCAGCGGTCTGTAAATAATCGAGTCTGGACCAGACAATCCAGTGATTAACAGCATGAGCATGGACCTGTGCAATTGGGAACCGATGCCATGTGTCAACCAAGCCAGCGAGCCTGACCATCTGATCCCGTTAGTCGCCTCTTACGACAAGCATGGGTCTGATTCGGCCACTCTTATATTGATAGTGCTATTTTAACCCCTGACGTAGGCGTAGCACTGAAACTGTGCTGATTCAGTCACTCCAATATTGGCAGTGCTATGGAACTCTTGATGTGGGATCCACCTTACCATCTTGCCCCCCATCTGGTTGTACAGGATCATGTAGAATTCCTTGGTCTCCTTCTTGTACTGGCAGTAGTATTTGGTCCATGTTGTTCCCAGAGCCTCTGTAAACAGGAACCAAAGATCAACATTGATATGCCAACTTCTGCTTAACAGTAAATAAACATAACAAAACAACCATTATTTCCGCCACCTTGTGACCTAAAATGTTCATTAATATGGTTATACTTTGTGTCCTAATCTAGTATCTGTACCCTTGGTTGCTCTTTATTATCTAAACCACAAGGCAGGCTTCATAATATCATCTTTTGGCACCCTTGTTATCAACCACTGGGCACCTTATATAATCATAACCGTTAGGCATCCTTTATTATCTTAACTACTTGGCACCCTTTAGTATCTTCTGCCTTTTTAATATTAACCACTAGGCACACTTCCTGATATCAATAAATAATAATAAATAATGAGAAGTCTTATAATGCGCTAATCTCCACGCAACAAAGCATGCTCTAAGCTATAACACCCTGATTATTATTACCCCGGATAACCCAAGCAGCCTGTTAGGTGCTAGAAGGTTATAGTCACATGACCTTATCCAACCGGGTACCCATTTTCTGCTGGGTGAACAGAGGCAATTGTGAATAAACTCACTTGCCTACGGTGATACCGCATGTATCACATGTGCTTCATTGTGGGGCAGGACTGAAGTCCTAGAAACTCTCAGGCGTCAAGCTGCCAAACACGGTCACCCATCCAAGGACTGTCCGAGCTCGACGTTGCTTAACTTCAATCCATTGGAACCTTTACTATCAACCAATGGGCACCCTTACTTTAATAATCTGAACCATAAGGCATCCTTTATCTTAACCACTAGGCAGCATTCATTATTGTAACCCTCCATGTACCTGCTACTATCATTGAGGTCAGTTTATTTGTAGGTCAGCAGGGTGACCATGTGGTGAAAACTACATTCGTTCTCTCCCAGGATAACAAGTGGTACTTACTTTTCTCCAAGAGATACAGGTACCCCTGGCGTGTAAATCCTCGCATGGTCCCGGATGACTCTATGGGCCTCTGTGCAACACAACTCTATGTTATAGCATGACATAGAAGAGCTCTAGAAAATACATTACTCCCTATCCCACAATAATTCCTTTATTCGAAAAAATTTGCACTTTAAATATGAGTCAGCTTCAATGCTTAAAGATAAACTCATTTTAATAACTGAATTAAAGATCTCTAGAAATTCTGATTTTTAGCAGAAGCCTGTGTTACTGTGAGCAAATTTCATCCACATTTTGCCAAAGCATGTATAAAAGATCAAACAACTATGAGACTGACCATTACATAAGCTGAATGATTTGAACAGTTTTTATTCGTTATCAGATATGTTCTTCTAATCTGACAGAAACTGCCACTGAGTGAAATGAGTTGGATTTGCTAGCCCCATCATACATCTGCTCAGGGGACATAATCTGATATTGAAATCTTAATTTCAAAATACTGTCCCTTAAATAGTCAGAAATCTCAAAGTTAACGCTTGGGAGGGACAAGCACATTCTTGGGTCATAAACTCAAAATGTTTTCCCTCAAAAAGTCAGGAGGGACAAGCGCATTCTTGGGTCATGATTTCAAAAATGTTTCCTTCAAACAGTCCTGTTGATACCAGAACAGGAATCTCAAAGCACATGGAATAAGTATGACGTGAATGATGAAGTAGTTACTTCCTGTAGGAACCATCTTGTAGGAACTTGCACAGGGGGATGAAACTACATACCACAAGATGGAAACAGTTCAACTCTCATCCCACAACAATCAACTCTTTCTGATAATTCTGTATGAATTTCGGACTTAGTAACCTTTCTGCTCGAACGGAGGCCACCATTACTGGATGTAACTGATGTCTTCCTGTCAGAACAAGCATGCTGCTCATTGGTCTGTGAAAGTGGAAATAAACCAAAATATAGCATGTTGTTCAACAGAACTTCATGTAATGTATGCACTACCTGCAGTAATCATATCCTTGTGCTGGTGTATGAAAGTCTCTAGATAGAGCTGTCCAATAGTGTTTTCCCAGTATATTCCTATTCAAAGCATGCATCTGGCTTATATACTTCAGCAAAGTGCTTGGAGTGTGAATTAACAAATGAAACTTCTTTGATGATTCATTTCTAAGACACTTACCTTCAAAATACAAATACTTATTATGGGACCACACAACAATATATTTACTTATTAAGTTGGAACATTGACCAGAAAAAAATTTAAAAAATTTATCCACTATTTCTTTCAGGGATCTATAACCTCTAGAGGAGTCCAAAACAGTACACTTGTATATTTTCTTATTAAGTTGCAAAAATCGACCAATAAAATGTACAGTTCCGAAGGCAAGTATGTTAGGAAGCAAATTAGGTGCAGTTTTCATTGGATTACAGTTCAGATACATAATGGCAGGGTTGTTAATAGCGTATGTTCCAAATAGGAAATCTTTTAGGAAAACACTTTGGAACAGCCATAGCACGGTGTAGTGACGAGTCAATATACAAATAGTTGGATCAACACAGAAACACTGTTACTGCAGATATGTATGTGTGTCCTCAGAAGCATTGGAAGTTCATTCTTCGTAAATAAAACAAAGTATGTTCATGTTGCTGGATTAAAAATAAACAAAAACTTGAAATAAAATGGAAACTGTGGAGAAAGGCAGTGAATGCTTGTGAAGGGCTTTACAACTGCAACATGCATGTGATCTTGTGATCCTGTGATCATATGAAACAATGTGCATACATCATTCCTACCAGTGGCCAGAGGCATATGTACAGATGTCATTTCACTGGGCTTAAACAGACAGTGAACCAAGCTGGGACTGAACCTGTTTCTTGTGTGAAGCACTAACCACTGGGCTATGTTTAACTCAAGGACCTAACCGCTGGTTTTTGTGTGACACAATGACCTATGTTGGGACTGAACCTGTTTCTCTTTTCAAGCACTAACCACTTGGCTATGTTTAACACAAGGACCTAACCACTGGGTTTTGTGTGACACAATGACCTATGTTGGGACTGAACCTGTTTCTTGTTGAAGCACTAACCACTTGGCTATGTTTAACACAAGGACCTAACCACTGTGTGTTTGTGTGACACAATGACCTATGTTGGGACTGAACCTGTTTCTTGTGTGAAACACTAACCATTGGACTATGCATGACACGAAAACCTATGTTGGGAAAGAACCTGTTTCTTGTGTGAAACACTAACCACTGGGCTAAAAACGTGGGTAATGACAGGTAGCGAACATAAGTGGGGACAGAACCTGTTTCTTGTGTGAAGCACTAACCACTGAACTGAACCAATGGGCTGTAACAGATAGCATCATTCTGACAAATACACACACTGCCGAGAGTCAGGATTACAGCAGTGTGAAGTTAACAGCACACCTGTAGCATATTGTACACATGGCTTTCACACATTGAACATGAACAGCACTGTACCCACACACTACTAGGTGAGAGGACACAAAAATAGAATTTGGGTATATTTCTATAGTAACTGTTCTGACAACACCAAAAACACCATTAGTAGACACAAGTTGTCCATTAATTGATACAATGACATGGATTACTCAAATGACAATGATTACTCACAACAGAGCCCAACAAGTCGTCAATGCTGAGGCATATCGACAAGAATCATGCACACATTCAACGATACCAACAAGAACCCAGGTTGTCAATACCCTGGTATATCATTATTATCAACAAGAATCATGTACACATTTAGTGAGACAAAGATAAACAATGATGTGAAATGAGATAATGATAGGGTTAGCAACCTCTGCAAGGTGCTGGTCAGTCCACAACACATCACAATTCAGTGCTCAAACTACACTCATATAAGACTGTGGCAAAATGTGGATCAGTTCATGTCAAGTCACATGCGTATCTTCTAAATGTGAGATCTTCTACTTGCATCATTCAAAAGTAATTCATCTACTCATGCAGGCTCATATGACTACAACATAATATATTTCTAAAAATTACTTCATTAATGAGAGTAAACATGTCAACAGAATCTATTATCAAAAATGTAATAAATCAAAATTTGATCAACAATAAATCAGCTACTGTCAATGCAGAAAGGAACGGGAAGAGAAGGATAAACTACAACACATTTAGTTGTACTAGGGGTTGGATACAGAAGAGAGTGCCCTTACCAAGAATGCAGGTGCGCCCGACGCTGGGAGCTATAATATAAGCCAGCGTTAGTGTCAGATGGTGAAAGCTACTGGTAAGTTCAAAACTGGGTCTTCAGATGATTCAGCTCAACACAGGGTTATCATTGGTTAATATATCATTTCACCGAAAATCATCTGAATGGCTGGAACTGGATGTTCGGAACAGGAGTGTAACAGAAAATCAGTTTATGTTTGTATATTTGGTGATTAAAGCTGCACTCAGCAATATTCCAGCTATATGGCAATGGTGTGTAAATAAATCAATCTGGACCAGACAAACCAGTGATTAGCATAAGCATCGATCAACTGATCTACCTGTCCTACCATTAGTCGCATCTTCCAACAAGCATGGCTTGCTGAAGACCAATTTAAACCTGGATCTTCACAGGTCATTTGAAAATCAGACCTGAATGAACCACCTCTACATTCAGACTTCCTGATATTACACAGAACCACTACAGAATATAAAGGTTTAATCTTATGTATACTTGAAATCATAACTATGTCCCCGAAATGACACATCACTTGCCCATTGCTGTTACATACTACTCAAACAAATTACAGATCCCTTGATTATTTTGTATTACTATAGTTAACCTGTCAAGTCATGTCAATGTCCTTGATTTCTTTGAGTAGCATATTTTCCCCATTCAAAATAGAACAAGCAATCAATTAAAAATGTTTCAAGTCATGGATTTAAGTTCATCATAGGTCTTCTGTCTGAAATGATCTTTTTCATCAACTGCTGATCTGTTCAGGGACCATTTGTGACATACATTTTGAAACCATTAAGTCAGCAAAACAGGTTTACAAGCAGAGATCTGATTGGCTACTACATGAGATCACAGAAAAGCATCTGATTGGCTGGAACAGGATGTTCTTGAACCAACTGAATGGTGCAAAATGTTTCCCAGGGATGTGGAACATGACAATACAGATTTCAGGAGAAGCCAATGAGACAGGTGTCTGTAATTTTCAAACACAAGATATTGGTAAAAGCTGAAGAAGTTAATCTTGTTTTAATAGTGAAAACAGAAGCTTGAGAAGAGCTTAGCAATCATCTGAAGACCCAGTGATGCTGACAATGCTTTGGAGGCAACAAATAACAGCAGCTTTGAAGCAAGATACGCCAGGTCAATAGACATTCGTACAATTGTAACCCACATACAACCACACATGTAATGCTGGAGTACTGTACTAGTGCTTAAAGCCTCAATACACCACCATACACATAGTGCTGGAATACAAATGCTTAAAGCCTCAATACGCTACCACACATTTAGTGCTGGAATACAAGTGCTTAAAGCCTCAATACACCACCACACATTTAGTGCTGGAATACTAAGTGTTTTAAAGCGCCAATACACCACCAATCTTTTAATGCTGGAATTCAAGTGCCACAATGCACCAACAGATTTAGTCAATTCAAACTTCATGCCTTAAGCATGGCCATTCCAAAAAAAAAATACACAAAAGCAAGTTACGCAAGATTCTAGGTCCTTTCAATTTGCCTGAGCATCAGTCTCCTTATAAACTTTTGAAATTTGAATAATTGTGACATGAAATGTGAATCACATTACTGAAATTAAAAGCCTGTTAAATGCTGTCCCAAATGCATTAAATTGCTACGGTGTATTAGTTTTTTAAGTCATTAATAAAGTGCAAGAATACCCAGATTTTAAGCAGTTTCAGTAATAACTATGCCATGAAAACTTATCACTCTTTTAAAACCAAAAACATATTTACAGGCATTTGAATCCTCTCAAGACATCTGTTCAAATACTACAAGAAACATAAAATAATGATCATGGTCATTATATATGATTCCTGAAGCAAACAGTAAATTAAAAGAAAGATTGCACAGCCAGATACGAGTTTATTAGCTCTATCTATGAATGCTCGAGCACTCAACAAATTAACATCTTAGGCCAAAGCAAACTCTGTCCATACACGAGGAGCAAGCGGTACCAATATATCAAAGGGGGATAACTCTGCATGACATTGTTTCAAAGGTTGGTACAAGATACAAACAGAAATCACTGTTCACCTAATTATTAAATGAGATGAGGATGATTTTACCCCAAAACACTGACAGCAAGTGACTCATGCATTAATGCAATGGCATGTATCACAAAACTGACCATTGATGTTAAGAGATACACAAATATTCTCATCCCATATTTGACAAGAGATCCTAAATAAATATATACATATCTTTATGAACTAAATAGCTTGAAACAAACTTTCTCAAAAACATTACGGATACATTTGCATATTTTAATATGTTCACATAACATAGATTTATGACTGGTTCCCATTAGTTTCAAGCCATATTAATATGACTGTTCTCATAACCTATAGTTGCAAGGGGGGAGTATTATAATGGTACTTAACATTGCTCCCCCGAGTAATGGCAGTTATATTTGCTCAAGCCTGTATATTTTAGTAGTGCCACAACCAGTTGTCCATGCTATTCACCAAATCAGGGCAAGACTTCACAAGTACATGTTAGACAACTTGTCACTGCAGAGACTCATGCACGCATGATGCTTCGAACAAGAAAGTTTAAGGTTAACAGCATTATCAATGTCAGTAATGAAAAATAACAGTTTCATCAGGACCAGAATATATATGGGAATTCAGATGAATATATGATATAATTACCGGAATATATACATGAGGAAATATGCTGCATCAACCACTATCTCATCTATCAAAGATACTTTGAAGACATTTTCTGCTATGGTGCATTACAAACATTTTGATAGGAAACATTTGCACAGAAAAATGCACCAGTTGCAGGAAAAAAGTCATGTTTGGAAAGGATGTCACCTTATCAACCCTTGTTATACGTGAAATGAACTGAAATACAGGAAGTATTTTCTATTCAACTCTTGCACCTAACATCTGAACATTTACAAGAACAAAAAACAACAACTAAAATTTCAAAAGTAATCAAAAGAAGAAATTTGATTGTATGTTCACACAGAATGACTCCTCAAGAAAATAGGCTCCTTCTGTAACCAGGGTTGACTGAGTGAGACAGTAGAGTTACTAAGCTACAGGAATCTAGATGAGATTGTGGTTTGCTGCATCATGTTGTCGGCAGCCCTGAGAAGTGGGAAAACCATGGAATGTTTAATTACCGTGCCACGGACCTCCAGCATCTTGTTCATCAACTCTTCAGCTTGGTTGCTCGTGCTCTCGAAGTTTCCACGAGTCTGAAACACAGCAAGCAGTGGGGTGTTGGAGGGAGTGGGGAACATTTCACTAACGAGTCCTAGTCATGGGACCCATAGAATAAACCAATATTCACACAGCTCAGGAATACAATTCATCTGCTGCTTTCAGCATTGAGCTATGCAATTGCACAGCACTGGGGACCAGGGAATCATTCCACAATGATCGTAGTGATAAGATGATCGTAACTCCCATACTTTAACATAGACTTATGACTGTCGTAGCGCTACAATCACTTTGTGGAACAGGGCCCTGTTCTTTGACAAGGTCCTGATAGGCCTCTTATTATGTGTATGGGGTGCTGGGGACCTTTTCTTTGACAGGGTCCTAATAGGCCTCTTACTACGAGTATGGGGTGCTGGGGATCTGTTCTTTGACAGGGTCCAAATAGGCCTCTTACTATGAGTATGGGGTGCTGGGGATCTGTTCTTTGACAGGGTCCTAATAGGCCTCTTACTACGAGTATGGGGTGCTTGGGATCTGTTCTTTGACAAGGTCCTAATAGGCCTCTTACTACGGGTATGGGGTGCTGGGGATCTGTTCTTTGACAGGGTCCTAATAGGCCTCTTACTGCGAGTATGGGGTGCTGGGGATCTGTTCTTTGACAGGGTCCTAATAGGCCTCTTACTACGAGTATGGGGTGCTGGGGATCTGTTCTTTGACAGGGTCCTAAGGGTCCTCTTACTACGTGTATGGGGTGCTGGGGATCTGTTCTTCCGACAGGGGCCTCTTACTATGAGTATGGGGTGCTGGGGATCTGTTCTTTGACAGGGTCCTAAGGGGCCTCTTACTACGTGTATGGGGTGCTGGGGATCTGTTCTTTCCTGGAATTCCTTTGAGGCATCTTACAAAATGAAAATGATACTGGAGACGTGTTCTTTTCTGGACTCCAAATGGGCCCTCCCTGGAAGTACTTGTAAGTGGGAACCTATTCTCCTTCTGAATCCCTACTGGGCCTTGTACAAGCAAAAGTTACAGGGGGATCCTATTCCAATGGGCCTCCTAAAACAAGCATGGAACAGAAGAAATTTGTTCTTCCTTGGAATTTCTGAGGGCACTAACAAAAAGCAAAGGCTACTAGGTACATGTTCTTCCTTGGAATCCAAATGGGCCTCATTCTGAAAGTATTTGGTGATAGGGACCTCTGAAATCCGTACAAGGCCTCTTACAACAAGCAAGGGTTACTGGGGAAACCTAGTCCACCAAGGAATACCAGCAGGCCTCTTTTGAATTTGGAGTTGTACAAACAAGGAATACTGTGAACCTATTCTTCTCTGACTTACCAATAGGACTCCATACAACAAGTGTTAGGTATTGGAGACCTATTCTTCCCAAGAATTCCCAACAAACAAAGGTTACTGGAGATCAACCATGATAAAGTGAGGCATTTCGTAGCTCAGTAGTGATATCTTTTGTAATCTCTTGTCTGAAGGTCTGGGAGAAATCTGTCAAAGATTTGGCTTATCTACTGGGATGTCACAGTTACCTCCCTTGTTCAAGATGCATGAAGGATTTTTGAAGTCATACATGTCCAACAACAGAAATTCCATTTCTGAGATTTTGTGGTATCCTTGTTAAATGGACTGACTGACTGACTGAGTTTGGTTTTACGCCGCTTTTAGCGATATTCCAGCAACATCACGGCGGGGGACACCAGAAATGGGCTTCACTCATTGTACCCATGTGGGGATTCGAACCTGGGTCTTCGGCGTGACGAGCCAACGTTTAACCACTAGGCTACCCCACCGCCCCTTGTTAAATGGAAGACGATTATATATCGAAATCATGTCTCATTACAATCCTTTTCCATAGCTGCCAATTCATGAAAATGAAACTAACCAGAATTACATTACTCCTGAGCCCTGAACAACTATCTAACTTCTAATTACCTTTTGGAGTCTCATTTGTAGGTCAATCATGTAGGGCTTAAACTCTCCAGCAGCCTCATGACCTGAAACATCAGCATGGCACTCTTCATGAAGGTGGAAAGTAAAAATAGTGACTCTCCTACATTCTATTCTATTAACAAAAACATTACATAATATTAGGTTTAATTAAGTTCTAAGGACCCATTTCTTACCACTGTGCGTTAAATATCTTAAATGTTAACTAAACCATTACTATTTCTCAATAACTAACATGTTAAGACATAATATAATGTACTTGGACAATTAGTCCTGTAATGAGAGGTGACGGACTGTGTGCCCTTTCTTATACGGTTCCGTCCACTCTTGTAGTGAAACAGAGTTACCTACCTTGATGGTAAAATGTCAGCCAACTGTACATGAAGGTGAGAAGCTGAAACAAGACAACAACAAAATAATCACTAGTGCCGATACACTTTCCTAAAAAGTTCAGGCTATCTTCACACACACACACACCCATCAACTTCTTAATTCTACAGAGTGACTGATTGGCGGAGTGAGTGAGTGGATATGGTTTTACTCCTTTTGCAATATTCCAGCAATATCACAGCAGGGGACACTAGAAACAGGCTTCACACCTTATACCTATGTAGAGAATCAAACCCAGGTCTTTTGCAAGATGCTGAATGCTTTAACTATTAGACTACTACCCCAACTCTATTGCAATATTCTGAATCAGGGGTCAATAATATTGAAATGTGGTCCAAGCCAATGTTCAGCAATTTGAGCCATAGTTTGTATCAAAATATGAGATCGTTGAATAGTTGAGAAAACCAATGTTGATGATTGGGTAACCCTGGCTTCCAAGGTCTTGGGGAAGTGAGTTGGGTTTAATGCTGCTGTTGAACAAGGGAGGTAACTATGATATACCAGGTGTCTTAATTTATTCATGACATTTCAGCTTTAAATGAGAACATAATGCTTAGTCGCCTATGAAAAATCATGACATTATCATTAAGATCATTACTACAGAAAATCTTGGAACTGAACCCCAAACTATCATATCCTTGCATTGATAAGGCGGATTTAACTCTGCATAGCTTACTTAAGTAGTAGTCTGCAAACATACTACTTACAATTTCCACAAACTCAAACTTCTTCTTTTCTTGAACCTCCTGGAGCTGCAGCACGTACTTCATGGACGCCTGGTAGAAGCCCCGCCTCTCCATCTCCAGAGATGCATCAGCCTAGAACAAGAAACATCATACAACTTGTGAAGAGTAACTCTAGGTACACAAGCATTACCTCCCTTTCACTTGAACCGTTCCCACATTTGAAGACAGCATGTCATAACATCTTTTGCACAAATTTTACAGAACTAGAAGTGAGTGAGTGAGGTTTTACACTGTTTTCAGCAATATCACAGCAGGGGACACAAGAATTGGCTTCACACATTGTACCATGTGGGTAATCGAACCCGGGTGTTCAGCGTAACAAGCGGACACTGGCTTGCAGACCGCCTCTACAGAACTTGGAAGATTAGAAACCCCCAAGAATTTGCTTCATGCATCATACCATGCTGGTAATCAAACCTTGGACCTTGGACTCTACCTCCAGGCACAATTACTTTCTCTTAACAATCTATCTCTTCAACATGTTCAAACATAATTAATAAATTATGATCTTACAATTCATATTGTTTATTAGTTTGTGAATATTTTGGGTACAAATATACCTTGACACTTAATTTAAGTCCCATGTTTTTATCACAGGGTCACATTCCTTCATAGTGATTCACGCTTCTAAATGACCCTTGTGGATGATAATACTGCTGGTCTATGCTCCCAATGTCAGAGCACACCTGTCATATAACATTACAGGTCTATGGTGTCAATGTCAGTGCACACCTGTCATATAATCACTTCCTACTGACCTGCTGTGATATCACAGACCACATGCCCTCCAGGCAACTCAGATCAAGGCCACATGCAGGTCAAAGGTCACCCTCCACTATCAGTGTGTCGAAGACAGGGTGTCAATGTCACCACGTATTATCACAGTAGTGATACACACAGGGAGGAGCACCAAAATAAACCTGGTCACACTCGCTGTACGCTTGGGTGTGGTTGCTTTGTAGCATAAAACATGCTGGTGGTATAGTTGTTCAGCATCAAACAGTTAGCTTAACACATATTCTTTCATGCTTTATTTTGGCTAAACCCTAGACTGAGAAGATAATACAGTCGACTTTATCAAGCTAATTAGCGTTCGACAATGCAGCCTTCAAAATGGGTCATCCAAAATGTCCTTAAAGTTTTGGGGTTTTTTTTAATTTGGTAGAGAGATAGTGGAATAAAAATGTCCTCATGCCATTGTTTCCTGCAATTAAAGTGAAATTTGTCTGTAATTAATGACAACTGGTCACCACTGTAAGATAGTCCTCGCTGAGTGAGTGAGTGAGTGAGTGAGTGAGTGAGTGAGTGAGTGAGTGAGTGAGTGAGTGAGTGAGTGAGTGAGTGAGTGAGTGAGTGAGTGAGTGAGTGAGTGAGTGAGTGAGGTTTTACATCACTTTTAGCAAAATTCCAGTAATAATACCAGAAATGGCTTTACATATTGTGGAGAATCAAACCCGGGTCTTCGTCGTGATGAGCGAACGCTTTGACCACTAGGGTAACCCCTCCGCCCCCAATAGTTTCAGAGGCACTTCTGTGTGCTGGTGTTATTGTTAGCATGTGCATGTGTTATCAAGTACAAGTGTATGTGTGTATTTGATGGTGTCAGTGTGTTAACTTTTGTGTGTCAGTGTGTGTTTGTTGTTTACATTACATTACATTACATTGATATACATTTATATAGCGCTAATATCCAGTCTTCAGAAGACTGCTCAAGAGCGCTGCTGAACTCCGTATGCAATGCTGAACAAGTGAGTTTTTAATCTGGATTTGAAAATATTGAATGTCTGTACTGATCGAAGAGAGAGGGGTAATTTGTTCCACAAAGCTGGGCCGGAAACCTGAAAAGACCTTTCACCAAATGTCTTGGTCCGGCTGACTACAGTCTGGCACATGTGTTGTTGTGATGACCTCAGATGGCGTGTTGGTTGATATTCTTGCACAAGGTCTGAGAGATAAACTGGTGCCATGTTGTGCAAGGCTTTGAACATCAGTATCAATATTTTGTGATGGATACGTTGTCGGATGGGTAACCAGTGCAATGTGATCAGAACAGGTGTTATATGCTCTGTCTTCTTTGTGCGTGTCACAACTCGGGCAGCTGAGTTCTGGACTCTCTGTAACTTGCTCAGAAGATATTCTGGAATCCCCTACAGCAGAGCATTGCAATAGTCCAACCGAGATACTACATATGCTTGCATCAATGTTGCAGCAGTTTGCTGGTTGATGTACTTCCTGATTAAGCCTATGTTGCGGATGAAATAGTAGGCATTCTTGCACATTTTATTGACATGCTTTTCAAGGCTAATAGTGCTGTCAAATATCACCCCAAGATTGCGAGCATGATCAGTGGGTTCAATGATACACTCATTAATTTCGAGTCTTATTGAAGACAACCTTTGTCGTATGCTGAACTTGAACAGAGAATGAGCATTTCTGTTTTGTCTTGATTCAGCTTCAGGAAATGTCTGGTCATCCATTTTGGATATCAGCAATACAATTTTGAATTGCCGAACATGCTGCATCGCAGGATGACGACTGCAGAGGCTTGAAACCTAGGTAGAGTTGGGTATCGCTCATGCATAAGTGAAAAGCAAGGTTGTGTGATCGGGCTATGTCTCCAAGTGGTGATGTATAAATGACAAACAGAAGCGGACCGAGGACTGACCCTTGAGGCACTCCAAATTGAAGTTCTTCCTTCTCCGAAATTGTTCCATTTATACACACTGACTGAAGTCGGTCTGATAAGTACGATCTGATCCACTTTAACGCTAGACCAGTGACCCTGATTCTACGTTCAAGGATGGAGATTAAGATGCCGTGGTCTACCGTGTCAAACGCAGCGGATAGGTCCAGTAAGACTAGGATGGCTCCTCCTGTAGAATCAACAGCACACAATAAGTCATTCTGCACACGAACTAGCCGCCTCGGTGCTGTGCCCTTGCCGATATGCAGATTGCATAACTTCAAACAAGCAGTTTGATTCCATGTGCTCTTTGAGTCTTGATGCAACAACACGCTCCATGAGTTTTGAGAAATACGACAGGTTAGATACTGGCCTGTAGTTCTTCATTATCTCAGAGTCAAGCTGGCTCTTCTTTATGAGAGGACTGACAAGAGCTTCCTTCATTGACAGTGGCACTGATCCTTCTGAGAAAGATGTGTTTATTGTGTGCATCAGGATAGGAGCAACAGAGTCAAGGCACTCCCTTAGGAACCATGTTGGCACGGGTCTAGGGAACATGATTTACCCGACTCATCTTAATTATCTCACCCACTTCTTTTCAGTTGTATCACCGAAAAAGGCCAGTGGGAAAAAATCACAACAGTCTATATCTTGGCTGTATGCAGGCAAGGTATCAGATTGGAGATTTTCCAAACATGTCCTTATAACTTGAATTTTCTCTTTGAAGTACTTTGCAAACTTGTTTTGCGAAGTTCATCCAGTGCATCAAAGGTTGGTAGAACTTTATCTGTTTTCTTGAACAAGAGCTTGTTTGAAAGTCGATAAACCTCTTTAACATTAGAAGCTCCATTTAACTGCTCAACAAAATAGCATCTCTTGGTTTTCTCTATCAAACAGGTAACCATATTCCTTTGGATATTGAAAAGCTGTTTGTGAATGGAAAGTCCAGTTCGTCTCATTTGTCGTTCTAGTTTTCTGCGTTTCTTTTTTTCATTGCGTATGTTGTCATTGTACCAAGCGGCATTTTGGTGTATTGTAACTTTCTTTGATACCTGTGGTGCATGCTTGTCCAAAGTTTCCTTCAATGCCTCATTGTACAGATCAACGCTTTCATCAGAGGATCTGTTCCCATGGTGTACCAGGGCATTGTCGAGATCTTGTTTGAAGCTAGGCATATTGATAGTTTTCCATCTTCTGAACACCAGTTCTTGTATTTCTCGCCTGGGGGCAACGATGTTCGTGTTGAACAGAACGGCAAAGTGATCCGACTTAACTGACTGGTCCAGTGTGATATCGGTGATGTCAAGTTCATTGTCTCTAGTAATAACTAGATCCAGAATATGTCCTTTGCTGTGGGTGGGCTCCTTTACATGCTGGTGCAAACCGTGAGATTGAAGAAGATTATTGAACCTTACAACGTCTCTCCTCTGTGGCATATCAACATGAAGATTGAAGTCACCGCTCATGAGTAACTTTCCAGGAAGTGTCACAATGCTGTCAAGCAGCAAAGGGAAAGATTTAATGAAAGTTGCTTCTTGCCCAGGTGGACGGTAAACCACAATCAGGGTTATGGATTGATTATCTACAGATAGTGTCACTGCTAGAACTTCACAGGACGACTCCCAATTTGTGAGTTTTATCCTTGAACACTGTAGAGTTTTTCTATATACAATGGCCACGCCTCCTCCTCTCTTGGTATTCCTTGGCACCTGAATGCACTTGAATCCAGGAGGAGTCATTTTGCCAATGGCAATCTTATCTGTGTCATCCTTACGTAACCATGTTTCTGTGACTGCCAGAACATCAAGGTTATTGTCTACAATTAGATCACACAATGACTGAGCCTTATCAGTCGAGGAATCATAGGTTTTAGCTGATCTTGAGTTGATAGTGCTAAACTTCAAAGTATGTACCTTGTATGTACATGATCCATTTAAGTGTTTTAGTTTCATTGAAGAGAGACGTGAAACCTCCCGTTGTTGACAACGCCCGCCACGGTAGCCCCGACGTGTTTTCTTGATGCGACAGATGCCAAAGTCTCTTAATGTTTTAATTGTAGTGGCTGGTATTCTGTCGTGTTTTGTGACAGCCAGAGATTGCAAGTCACTCGAGGTGTAAGTTAACATTGTGATAAGCAGCAACCAGGGAAACGTATACATAATCAGACACATGGTGAAGCGCTGATCACATAGCTTACATATAGCCAGGTCACCACGGTCCTGGTCCTTGAATGAACAATAGGTACACCAAACACAATAGGCAGGCCTGATTGGAAAGATCTTTAAGCTTGGGGTAATCAGGTTGGTGTGAAGAAAAATACCTTGTTCAATGGTGAAAATTTGTCAGGTAGTTAATGCCTTATATGTCATATTTTGACATAAGATTCAAGAAATCAAATCCAGTAGATGTAAGCACTCACATATGTTCCATCTTCATGTCAAATTTGAAAGACGTGTTTAACCCCATACTCAGCAACATTTCACGTGTACAATGGCAATCAATCAAGGCACCTAGACCACCTGATTCTTTAGTTGCCATATACAACCAGAATGGGTTGCTGTGGACCTCTAATAACATGGCATCCTCATGGATGGAACTGACATACCTCCTGAAGAATGGACTCATTCACTTTCGTCTTCATATTGAGATACCTCTCCAGGGACTGGCAATATTTTGTTGTCTGCTTGTCAAACATTTTCTTGCCCTCCTGAAAACATTAAACATATGCCTTACAAAAGTGTATCACCTTTGTCCAGTTTAGCTAATTTGGATTTTATTTTTTCAAATGGTACTTAACAATCATCAACTCTAGCGCTACGTCAGTAGAACTGACTTAAGTCTTCTACTGTATTTGTAAACATGACTGGTAAAAGATAAGAATCATCACCATCAAACAGTGTGTGAATAGATGAAAGAGTTGAGTTCAACACTCAATGATTCAATGAGAGCATACGAACCTTGACTTGACCGATCTTTTCTTTGCGGAAATTTTCCAACGGTTTAAGGAACTGGTCTGTTGCAGTCTCAAGCTGAAATTAGATCCATCATAAACCAATAGACTAAAACAACACTACAAACACTAATTTCAGACATGACGCACAATTTTTAAGATGTATCGTTATAGTCTGTTTGCAGTGAAAATGTACCAATGAATTTCACTTTAAACAAAAGAGTAAATCAAATAAAGTGAAATTAAGATTGCGAATCCTCATAATTTTACCTTGCCGATTGAACATTTAAATCTCAAAATTTTATTCAAATTAGGGTAAAAGTTGTTTAACAAACGATCATAGATTCAAATCGCTATTACTGGTTTGTATTACAATGGGGTAAGCGCAGTAGTTGGAACAGTGAAACAAATGCATGTGCGGAACGTGAAGAGCGTTAACTTATAACAACCCTTGTCGTTTTCGGTGTTTCATTTAATGTGCATACCCCCTTGTGATACAAACCAATAATAGCCATGCGAGACTATGATCGTTTGTTAAACAACTTTTATCCTAAGTCGAATAAAATTCTGAGATTTAAATGTTCAATTGGCAAGGTAAAATCATGAGGTTTCGCAGTCTTAATTTCACTTTATTTGCTTTACCTTTTTGGTTTAAACTGTCATTCATCGGTACGTTTTCACTGCACACTATAGTTGAGCATGATACAGAACCATAATGTCGTCAAATATTAATTTGATCATGATGTTGACTGGCTATCTTTATTTGCAACAAACCACTCAGAATTTAAGAATTCTTTTTTATTAAACAACACTGATTCTCAGTTTCAGTGGGAATTATAGGGATGTTTCACCTCACACTCACAGATATCATAGAGAAAAAGCTGCTGTATAGCACGAATAATGTTCCACATAACTGTGGTAGGATATAAAAAAATGTACCATGTTAATCATTTTGACCAACCAATCCACATTCAAACATTAGAAAAAGTACAGGATTGAAGGACCTGTTCTGAGATGGACCTGATTTTTTTTGTAAGGACCTGAATCATATTGGTCTATTGCTGAAAACAGATCTATGTATGAGGCAGATAGCTGTGATAACAGCAAACAATGAAATCAACAGGTACTAGAATCTTACGAGTTTCTCACGCTCCTCTTCAATGGAGAAGAGCAGCCTCCCGAACTCCTTGAGTGACTGGGCTGAAAATAGAAATGTTATCATCAGTATAACAAAGGATATACCAGATCAATGTCACCTGAGACTGTCATCCATGGCCCCTGTTTTCAGGACCCGTACAGTAAATCACATGTACGTGTATAGGATGCAATACTTTCCATGTGCAAAAAACCCCCAGAATAAATATACTTTTAAAACGAACTGATTCACTTGTTTGGATGCAAATGTGTGTTCAGCCGATTCATTTTTCAGGTTCAGGTTAAGAGACAAAACACACAGTAATCTCAATCTCTGTCCAAGACCAAGCAGAACAGGAAATACAAATTTAATGGGAAATTGTCATGTCTCATGATGTTATATTCTAATTTTTATTGACTAAGTTTGTTAACACCTTTTCTTTTACCTGTATTCGCCTTAATGGAGATGATGTAGTTTTTTTCTGTGCATAAATACTGATAATCATTCTTTAAATAAATACTGGATTCCACAGAGTGGAATATACATTATGCTTGGGTGCACATTATACAAGATTATTCAGTACACTTATTTCCCAATGATGTTTGTTCAAGAAATTCCCATGAATGATATGAAAAACTGAATTACTTTCTATTGCCTGACATGGGTTTGTTGACATTAAAAGTAAATATCTACACTAAGCAAACATCAGTGTGCCAAGTATTTTTCTGTATAAACATGATAAGAAAGGGTTTACAATTTATTCATACTGTATAAATACAACAAGAACATAATATCTACAGTCTATTTCTCCAATCACAACCTCTGACAATCTAGACATCTTAATCCAAGCAATGCTTGACAAAGAGGTTGACTTGCCAATGTGTTGAACTAGTCTTTTCGCACCAACTGATATGTTCCTTTGTTAGAAAGGGGGAACAGTAGGGTGAGGGACTGATGACACTGTAAAGCCCAGACAACCGGGCACTAGTCAACATTCAATCATTCTGGGCCACAGGCAACTGAGTACTAGTCAACCATCAGACCTTCTGGATCACAGACCAATGGGTACTAGTCAACTATCAATCCTTCTGGGCCTAGATTTTCAAAGCTCTCTTAGCGCTAAGATAGTCGTAAGTGCCATACATTAACATTAACCTACCGACTATCTTAGGGCTAAGAGAGCTTCGAAAATCTCGGCCCTGGGTCACACTCACAGACAACCAAGTATTAATCAACCATCAATCTTTCTGGGGCACAGACAACCGGGTATTTGTCAACCATCACAACCATGTTCTACTCAACTATCAATCCTTCTGAGGCACAGAGAACCAAGTACAAATCAACCATCAGTGAAGCAGAGTGTGAAACAGCCATCTGGGTGGGGACACATCCAGTAGGGAGCAGAGTAGACTACTGGGTGTGAAACAGCCATCTGGGTGGGGAGAGATGGGTGTGGTCAGGCTAGAGGAGATGGACAGCCATCAGGGTGGGGCAGACAGCTGGGTATGGAGCAGAGTAAACAGCCATCTGGGTAGGGAGAGATCCAGTAGGGAGCAGGCTAGGAGATGGACTAACAGCAGGGTGGGGGCAGACAGCTCGGTATGGAGCAGAGTAGACTACAGGGTAGGGAGAGATGGGTTTGGTCAGGCTAGGGAGATGGAATAACAGCAGGGTGGGGGGCAGACAGCTGGGTATGGAGCAGGGTAAAGGATATACAGCTGGATGGGGGACAGACAACGGCATGTTGGGACATCCTTGTCTTCTTTCCAAGGAACAAACACATAAATCCAAGACTTATTACAATTCTGTTAATTCTTCAGTAAACGTATGTTAGATAATCTGAACGATTTGTAAAGTGTCGGATGAATTCTACTTGTGGCCATACCAACATCTTAAATACCCATTAATCAGAATTTTTATCGCCAAACCTCAACATCTTTAGTAGGAACCCCATCAAGCAATAAATACCCTGATAGCAGCTGATACAGGAAGCAAACTGATTCCCTTCTCTCAGACAAAAAGCCAGTGGAAGATAGTGTCAGGAATGTGAGATGTGAACCTGGTGATAGTGCAACTATGTAAATAATGCACATTCCATGTGGCTAGCCAGGGGATACAGCTGGTGTAAACACAGGGGACTGTATAGACTATAGCCTGAGTAGCCAGCTACTGCCAGGTAATAACAGTTCAATTAGCCATGCTAGCGCTGCTGCTGCCGTAGATTGGACGATACCGACTTCAGAGACCCCTTGTTTTACCGTATTCACCAAAACAGAGGTGCAACTTGCTCTACTATTACTGATACACATCTTGAGCCTTTGCCCTTCTGCATGCATACTTCCTCAAAGTATACAATCCTTGCATTAGACAGGCACCTGTACTATTTATTCAGATTTTAACATTCTTTTTAGGACTTGTTGTTTAGTAAATTTGTACCTTAAAAATTGTAAGCTGGGCCTTTAAGTCAAAATTAAAAATTATCATCATGATAATGTTATGAATTTGAGTGCATTATGTTGTCTTTTATAACTGTGTTTTCTCATTCATTGTAATCAAATAAACTCATTTTCTTGGACATTGACCAAATGTCATACACAAAGTGCAAATTTTTACTCAGATTTGGAAGGATAATGAATAATGTTCTATCAAAAGTTTACGATGACATGAAAATGCACTGATCCCAATAGTCTCTATATAATCACTGAGTTCACACAGACTTGACGATATGGAATCAACATATTTTAGTTCAGCAGACTCGTTTCTTACTGGGTTTCATTATCTAAAACAGTTGATATCAGCCCTGTGCAGCGACATTCAGTTTACTGGACTATGTATGGTATAGACTGTAATAGGGCACCTGTTGTACCATGCTGTCAGATTTTACATCAAGTGAAACGACAACGCCATCTGGTGGATGAAACCCATCAGCTCCCAGTATATATCTGTCTGTGGTTCCAGTAGGTTGGTATATACAAAGCTCCCATGCACAGACATTCCATTGGGAGTATACACTAATTCCCCAAATACTACGCTTTTATCGGAGGTGGGGTGTGATATCTGACCATACTCCCCTATGTGTGGCATGCCTAAACTGCCTTCACAGCATTGTCTACAATATAATTCACTTTGAAAGAAGTTAATTGATGTCAAGAACATGATGCATCATAGTAAAAGGATACCTAATCAGAATCCAAGAAAACCATTGTTTGGATTTCAGTAAATTTTATTCCTACAATATCTTATAATAGGGGCTATTACAAGGCTGACTGACTGAGTGAGTTTGGTTTTATGCCTCTTTAAGCAATATTCCAGCAACATCACGGCAGGGGACACCAGAAATGGGCTTCACACATTGTACCCATGTAGGGATTCATACCAGGGGTGGAAATAACCCATTGCCCGACGTCCCAGTCCAGTGTTTTTTTCTGTCGGCAAGCAAATTTGTATATCACACTGTACCGGTCCAGTTGACCCAATGTGTTGGGAAAATCGGTATAGTGGGAAAATTATCAGGGCAAGTGACTTTCGTGCCACTGATGAGTACACTATCAATTTTAAAGTTATTTCCACCCCTTTCGGTATGATGTGAGCTACACTAGACTACCCCACCGCCCCGGCTATTACAAGAAGTGTTTGTAAGAATGATGTTTTCTCATCAGAACAGTGACTAAAATGGCAGACTGAATATACACTCCTTGACATACAGAATCATGAAAAAACAAGTCAGTGCTAAAAGTGTGTCTTAGAGCCCAACATCTGGTTGAAAGAAATAGAGTCTAGTCATTATTAAACATTTGTTAGAGAGGCCATTACTGTCAAAACATTCTGGAACAACCTGACATACAATAACCAACAGCTACATGACATCGCAAAGAAAGGTAATTTACTACGAGAGAAGCAAGGTGTCAAAGTCTTCCCGTGGTGCATGACGACATAATCTGCATGATCTGACACCCCTGTGCCATGTGTAACATATTGATGCTATTTAACAAACTCCTTGGTCTACAAATACATCACTAATCTTCAACATAATTATTCCAACACACGTAGTACAGCCCCTAGGGAGACTTCCTCCCTTCAGACAAAACATAAACTGGGAGAGCCCTTGAAGATTGCTGGAAGAGTTACATCTAGATTCTAGAATGTTGTTTACAGACAGATTTGGCTTGCTGAAGTGACCGTGGGGAAATCAGGCCCACCAATCTTGTAGTGGCGAGATAGGAACTGTTACTTCCAAAACCTTAACACTGCCAATGTTGGCATAATCAACATGCTGCCTCTTTAAAATATGTCTTTTGCTTTCTTTGGATTGCCAGCAGCAGGTTTATCTGGAGTTGTTGTCAGCGCAGGAGCAGGTTTTAACAGAATACTGCAAGCATGAAAGAACAATGCAGAAATGTGCGGCTGTATTTCATACTTGTCCACAAAACAGGGAGAGACGGTTTCTAGCATCCATTTGATCATTCGCAAAACAAGAAGTTTCAAGTAATGTTAGGCAGGTGTGACTCCTCTATGCAAGGCAATTTTGGAAATGAGTCAGAGAAATTCCAGCTAGTGAGTAAATGGGTACTGATCCATATGACTTCAAGCACATGCACAAGACATGAGACACCAAGATTCTTACTGTGCTATCAAAGAAGGATTGAACTCAAACCTTCTCCATGACAACTGAGCAGAAACACAACATGGCCACCTGGAAGTGACTAGGGCTGTGTAAACCTAATGAATTGTGATTATTTTGCCTTGTTTGTTTGTTGTTTAATGCCTCACTTGACAAAATTCCATCTACATGCATATAGTGGTTGTCTGTAAATAATCATGCCTGAACCAGACAATCCAATGATCAACATCATGAGCATCGATCTATGCAACTGGGATACAATGAGCAAGTCAGCAAGCTTGACCACCTGATCCTGTGAGCTGCATGGGTTGCTGAAGACCAATTTTAACCTGGATCTTCATGAACTGCTATTTTGTGATGAATGCATCTGTATTGAAATACATATTGTAATATACTGCAATACATGCATGGTCAGATTTTATATTTTTCGGACAGCAGTATTTC